ATATATATATATATATATATATGCTAAAATGACACAGTAAAATGGTCTTTTCCCTAATATGCTAAAAATATGCACAAAGTTTAAACTGTGAAGTCATGTAGAGGTGGAACAAAATAAATTTAACACCAAACATTTAGAAAATGACAGATCATATAATAAATTCATCCATCCCTAATTTTTTTTTAAAAGTCCTGGGAAGTCTCTGCTTTCCATCTGTATGGAATGGATGTTGTTGTCTTTGAGAAAAAAAAACTGACCTGTTCCTTAAACAATTCCCGAAGTACAGTCATGCACTGTTGCAGCACTTCCTTGTCTTCTAATTTCCTTATTGTTCGCACAGCATCTCCAGTTATTACAGACATTAGAACACTGCATTTACGCTGAAAACAAGAAAGGAAAGATCATTGATTGTTTCCTCTACTGGTGCTCCCTTGAAAAACCTCTAAATCAGGGGTGTCAAACTCACATCGTCATGGCGGCGTCATGGGACGTATCAGGCCTTCACTAAATCAGGTATGGGCATGGCCAGCGCATAATGCTTCCGGCCTGTGGGCCAGGAGTTTGACAGCCCTGCTCTAAATAAATGCTGGCCAGCCCATAAAACTGAACTACTTAGAACATGTGCCAGCACGGAATAATTGCAGTACCATTTATAAAAAAATGTTCGCCTTGCAACAAAACCCATTCATTTTAGATCACAAAAATCAAAATTGCCTAAAGTTCTTAGCATAAAATATACCGTAAAGTACTGAGATTTTATGTTAGAAAAATGCCAGTTTACATTAAAACAAACGAGAAAGGTATTCTGAAGGGAATCATTTTTTTCCCCCAAAATCTGAAGAACAGAAAGAGACCGGATACCTGTGGATCCATGTCGTAAAAAACACTGAAGAGCCCACGTTTGCTTGAATTAGGTGGAATATGGCCAAAGTAATCAGCTCCTTGAATTTTGCTCTCCCAGAATCTGTAAGGAAACTGTAGTGCAATCTAAAACAAAAAAAAAGCAGCATTTACCTCTTTGCTCACATGGGCTGTCATCCTGCATAAGTTTAGTATATAGCAGTAAGGAATAAAGTCCATCTCTTTCCATAAACATAGTCCCGTTATAGGGGCATAGGATCAAGCCATTACTTCCAAAGAGTTTTCTCTCATCCAAACTAACATCTCCAACAAATAAAAATAATTCGAATAGTATATATTTAACATCTGAGTATCTTACACATTTTAGAAATGTATATAAAGAAGTAATTGATCTTAGCTTAGCTCTAACTTATACCAAACTAATGATGTCAAGAAGTCTCAAGGCTGATTTTGAAAAATTAAGGGTATCCTTTATTTTTGGATTGTTTTTATGAATACATGCATGTGGAATCCATTCTTACTGGAATAAGCTTGTTTAATCAGATTGTGTAAAGAACATAACTTCTAAAAAGGTTATGAAGGAGGCCATAGGAACTCAAGACTCAAGTTTTAGGACCTTTTGCCAGAAATATTGAAACAAGTATATGGATGTATATCAGCATTCAAATAATAATTTCTCTACAGAACAGACTTGGAAGGCCTTCACTGGCCTCTACACATTTCTATTGGAAAACATTCCCTGCAAATATTTGCTCTTTGCATTCTACTTTTTATAGCAAAAATACCAAACAAACTCTTACCTTCTCAATGACTCCAGCTCCTAAACTATTGATCGCTTTCATTTTTCTATCTGATAAACCTGGATTGAACTGAATTGCTGGTTTTTGAAGAATAGTTAAAGGTACAGCAACCAGAACCTTTGGAGAGAAAAAGAGCCCTAATTTTAATAGAATGCTAATGGATCCCATATTTCCAAATGTTCTAATTTATATTTTGCTGGGCTAATGTGCAAATAAGCACATAACACTCAGAATTTTGTATCTTGCAATGTTCTTTTTTCACATTCAAATTAATAATTTAAATTAATATAATTGGCTACCAATGGATCTTTCTCGTGGTAGTTATACATTATTCAATCTCAAAATTTTCAATATAGATAAAAATCAAAAAGTCTAGTTTTAACCAATATATTTGATAAAAATCCAGAAGGATACGGTTTATAATTCAAGTCTGAGTTGAAATTTGTTAGAAATATTATTTAAAATGGAAGAAGGCGGAGCCTCTTTGCTGACAGACTGTAGATCATGACTCTCTGCGGCTATGGTCCGTGCTCTTTCGTTGGAGAGCCCCGATCATTACGATTAGGGGCTGAAGCTGCCTTGGAGGGGCGGTGGAATAAGGGGAAGCCGCAAGCCAGGTTGAGGGGAGCTGCATCTCCCCCCTGGGCTTGGTCCCCCCCCCCCCATGAAGATGACTGCAGTGGTGGTTTAAAATGGCCACCCCGAAGAGGAGGACTCAGCTGGATTAAGATTTGTGCAGGAGGAAAGAAAGATGTGGATAACATCTGAACTGGGACAACTGGGCAATACAACTAAACAAAAGTACCCTGGGATTAAGGTAACATGGAATTTTTAAGAAAAGAAAAGTGAGCAGTGAAATTACAAAGGGACAGGTAAAAAAAAAAAAGAAAATATTTTTGACAGCTAAGCGGGGCTTCGAACTGGGAAAGGAAGAAGCTGGAACTAAAGATTTAATTAAATTGGACTAAAATATTTTGGGAATAAACAGGCATAAAATAAAGCTGGACTTAAGATTGTCAAAAAATAATAATAATAAAGTTTACAAATTGGAGACTGGACTGTGCTGGAATATTGAGGTTCGAAAAACCCTAAATAAAAAAATAGGGGGAAAAGGTGAAGACTTTGTATAATGGAGAGTGCCACCTTTTGACAAAAAGTGAAAGCATCCTGTTTCTGAATGAACTTGTATGGATATAACATTAAAGAAATATTGAAACAAAGTAAGAATCTTAGAAAGTGAAAGCAGAACCAGAATAAAGAAAAAAGCAAGGAAAGACTGACTGTGAGATTGGTTGATGTTTTTGGTATAGACCCTTTCGAAAATTGAAAGAAGAAAGAAGGAAAGTAAAAATGTGTTCGAAAATTGAAAGAAGAAAGAAGGAAAGTAAAAGTGTGTTGTTTTTTTTGTGGACTTTTAACGATCAAAAAATATAAGAGTGTGTACTGATGATATCTCTTTGGGAATTAAAAATGGAACTTAAAAATATGAGAGAATTACTACAGGAAAGAGGCAAATCACTTTGCTCTGTGTTAGAAAAAAATGGAAATGGCGATTGAAGAACAAGAAAGAGCTTCAGAGGAGGAGGAGTCGATTCAAGGAGAAGACATTTTAAATAGACAATTAACACAAAGAACACTACAAAGAAGTGGGGAAAGAAGGAAGGTTAAAAAGTTGAGATTTAAGAAGGCAATCAAAAGGGGGAATACCTGTGAAGTTGGGAAAGGCAAAAAGACCCAGCAGAAAAGGGGAAAGGAAGATATTAAGAAAGAGAGGGATATAAACTGGAATGAGAAAAGATATGGGGAAAAGAGGGGGAGGAGAAGCAGTAAGAAACAGGTGCATGAAATAAAGAAATACGGAAATAGTAAAATGTTGAAAAGAAATTGTTTTTTTCAGAGATAATGGTTGATGAATTAAAAAGGGGATTCTGCAGGGTGACAAGGGGTAATAAGAATATTTCTGAAATTAAAAATATTTAGAAAATAGGATAATATAGATACTGATAACTCTTATTAAAAATCAAGGGGGGGGGAATATGCTGTGGAATCCAAGTGAAAAGATGTAATGATTATTGTTGTAACTGCCTAAAAATAATGGTTTATTGGGAATTAAGATGAGGGAATAAAGGTATATTTTAATCAGTGAGGTGTCACACTCAAAACAGTAAAAGGGGGGAAACCTCTACTTGATTTTTTTTAGTGTTAAAATTTGTATTAATCTAGAATTTATAAAAAGAATGTGTAATGGAAAGGGAATATGACACACTAAAGAACCAACTAAATTAATAAGTTAATATAAACTATTAAACTATTAAAAGACTATTAAAAACAATGATAACTTTATTATTATTATGCAAACACATATTGTTTGTCTTTATTTTTAAAATAAATATTAAATGATTATATTTGAAATAATTGAAATGAAACAAAGAAGACGTTTCGATTGAGATTAATGAAAGAGGCTAGAATTAATGTGTTTGTTTCTCTCCTTACTGAAAATTTGGAATGGAAAAGGTAATAATAGAATTAAGTATGCATATATCAATGTATAATTGCTGTCATAGTTGTATGTAAATTAAGTATGCATATATCAATGTATAATTGCTGTCATAGTTGTATGTAAATACAACATAGTTGTATGACCCGGAAATATGTTGTCCACTAAAAAGAGATTTTTGTTTTTAATGTGAAAAATTGAATAAAGTTTGTTAAAAAAAATTATTTAAAATAACTTCTTTGGTTTTTGTTTTTAATTTGCAGGATTGGAGAAATGGCACAAAAGGGATTTATAAGGAAATAAATACATGTGAAACTGAAACTGACCAAACTGATTAATCAAACTGATTAATCCATCCCTACATTACATTAAAATAATTTAATCCAGTATATTCAATAGATTTGTTTCTATATTCAAAAGAGGAAATAAAACACAGGAGAAAATTATTGAGCCAACTTTAAAGAAGTACTTTAAAGAAAAACTTTCAGTGGCTTTTTTCCAGCAATAAATTTGATCAAATACAGAAAGGAACAATGCCATGATAACAATGCAGAAAAACATATTAAGTAGGAAACCACCTAAAACAATAAATATTCTCTTTTGCTTTTAAAACAATTCAAAGACACAATCTATCAAGGAAACTTTTCTTGTTCTTCCTTTTTTCAAATCCTAGTAATTCAAGGACACAAGCAAACATTTCAACTGCCTTTCCACCCCCAAAACCAAATAATATTCAATCTTCCCTCTATTGATAGAGCCAAACCCAAAACAGATCCAAAAGAGGAAGTGAAATTGGTATTATTTACTTCTGAATTATTCTGTGTAATTTCCTGCGTCTCCTATTGCCCTACGATTGTGTTGGTGAACCTATGGCACCCATGGCAGAGGTGGCACACAGAGTCCTCTCTGCTGGCCGTGTGCTGTCGCCCCAGGTCAGATCTCCGTGGCGCTTCTTCCGTGAGCTTCTGTTTCCCTGAAAACTACAAAACAGAAGCTCACGAAAGAAAAATATCTTACCACTTGCCGCGCTGCCGATGTTGGGATGTCCCGCCTCCCGCTGGCCATCTGGTCTTCAGGTGTCTGCTGCGTATGCATGCATGTCCACACATGCGCATGCACTTTTCAGTTTGGGCATGTGTGTGCATGCAGTTTGGGCACTCGGTGTCCAAAAGGTTTGCCATCACTGCCCTATGACCTTCCCTAATCTTTGCATCCACAGATTTCTGTACTGAGATTTCAACAGCTTTTTCACTGGAAATTGAAGTCCACACATCTTGAAGACATCACACTGGGGAAAGCTTATCCTATAATCTTAATGCTGAAGGGTTTTAATTTGGAAGTAACCGAGCAGAACTGCTTTGAAAGAGAGTTAATGGATAACCAAGGCAGAACACTTAACAGAGAGCTTCTGAGTGCCACTGAGGCCATACATGTGTCTGAACCTGCACAATCTCAAATGCCCTAGCACTACTTCAAATTCCCAAGAGGTGTTTCTAAATGCCACAAAGATTAGAAAGAGGATGCATAATTGGACTAACAAATTGAAATAATGAAAATAAAAGGGAGAGTGCCACAGAATGTGTTGGTCTACCAGCCATTTCTCTGGTTTATATTTGTGAGGGCAGGTTGCAGGATTTTGAAACACTATAGACACTAAGATCCGTAGTGTGTACTTTCTGCTTCTTGCCAAAACATTTCTCAAAAGCATAGATGACAAATCAGAGGCACACAATATTTGCTCTAAAAAGGTTAAAAAAACATTTAATTCATCAACTGCATTTAACTCCCCTGCTCCTCCACCCAGGAGGGAAGGAAACGAAACCACTGGCTCCACCCAAACACGCCATCTTCAGCTGTCAAAGGCAAAAGTACAGTAATAACAAAATGAAAGTGTTCTCCAATGCTGAAAAAAGTTGCTGACTCCAACACAACCCCAAAGAATGAGATATCACCTTTTGTGCTGTCCACAGAGCTCCATCCTTTGTGGTCACTTTGATTGCTTCTCCTGAGTAATCAATGCTACAGACCTTTTAAGAATGAAAGGGAGATTGTAAAATACTTATTTATACATCTCATGACGTTAACACAAGTAAAACCAGAGTTCTCTTCCTTATATATTTCAGCTGACATCAAAGAAGCTGAAACATTGTTCACAAAGCAGCAAGAATATTTTCAGCAAAAGGCACAAGAACAATACAAGGAAGACCTGATTTAGCAGTAGTACAACAAAAAGGATCATATAACATATGTTGAACATGAGCCACCAGTGTGATTCAGCTGCTAAAAAGGCAAATGCTATTTCTGATGAATCAGCAGAACTTTAAACAATGGAGAGACAGTGAGAAAAGTCAAGAGTTGAAGTTCAGAACAGAGTGGAAGAGGAGAACTAACAGGCTAGTTAGGTTTGAGGTTGTAAAGGCAAGCAGTATCTATAAGTTGGCATGGGAATACACAGTGAATACAGACTGTAGACCAACAATGGTGAATCTTTTGGGCTTGGCATATCAAAAATTCAGAAAATGTCAAATTTGACTCGGCATGTCACACACATGCCCATATATGAACAAAGGAAAACAATTCTCTGCCTCCTCTCCCCTCCCCCATCTAATCATTGCCAATTATAGGGGGCAGCACTCATCTCCATTTCAAGGCTGTTGAGCTAGCACTGTCCAAAGACATTTCCGTAGTCATGTGGCCAGCATGACATCGCGGAGCATTGTTTCGTCCCCACCAAAGTGGTACCTATTTATCTACTCTCATTTGCATTCTTTCAAGCTGCTACGTGGGCAGGAGCTAGGTGAAGACAGCCACTCAACCTGTTGCATGACACTTGGGTCTCAAAGTAGAGGTCTTGTAGTAGAGACATGGGCTTCAGTTTCAGCCCTAGTGCCACAGCTGTCATCGAAAGGCCACCTCATACTGTTTTCCCAGTTCCCAGCACTCCCCAGGATCTGCCACGTGCCACTTACTTTCAGGTAGCCCTTGGAGCTTATCTGAGGCTGCTCTGGTCTCACAAGGCCTTTGTTTCTAAAGTGGTTTCAGAAAATGCTCTTATGCAGCCACTACAAACTGCACAAATCATGCCCCATTCTCACATGATTTCTGGAGACTCCAGAGGCCTTGAGAAAGCAGGGCCTTCCTGTGCAACTTCTGAAGTGTCCAGAGGCTGCATGGAACCTCACTTATTCTCAAGCAGCCCCCGCAACAACGACAACAATTCCCGAGAATGGAGTGTGCTTTCGAGAATAGTTATCAAGTGTTGATGAATGCTGACTTCCCACCCAAAACATCATGGTGGGTCACCTTTGATACATATTGTTATATGTTCGTCATCACTGCTGTAGACTATTAAAAGATCTAGTATACATTTCAAATAGGCTCTATAAAGTCCTATTTATATTTCTTCCAAAATGTATATTAAATTGGGGCATCCATAGAAGCAGTTTGAAAAGGTCATGACAAAGCAAGGAAAATGACTCTTCCATGTTTTGATACTTACTGGAACATTTAACCGAATATCCAAGCCTTCAGCTAATTTTTCAGTTAGGGCTGAGTAACCTGAACTCAATAAGGTGTGGTCACCAGCAAACTGCGCAAAAAATTCATTATGATCCCAAGACCGTGCAGAAACCTGTTTGGCGAGACAATTCTTCATTCAGTTGCAATTCAAGTTAACTCTTTTTAACATATTTTTCTTTTCCCATGTACATAAACGAATCTCCCCATTCTCCTAACTGTCCTTTATGTGAAAGGGCTAATTGTGCCAGGTTGCAGCCATACCATCCCTTCTTGCAAACCTAGAACTTAGCACATTTAACACTGCAACCTTTCAACAATTAGTACTGTTCTTTAAAGCATTTTTATCCTTTTTCACCCACAGAGGCTCCCGAAGTAACTTATATATAGCCAATGAAGGGCAGTTTGAAAATAAGAGAGTGAAAGAGAAGCCCTTCCAGTAAGCAAGCTTGACAATGAAAGGAAAAACATGCATAAAGAGAAGAAAAACATCCCCGCACTCAGCCACCAATAGTCATTCCTCTGTAACGGGTGTCAAACTCAATTTCATTGAGAGTCATGTCAGGGTTGTGTTTGACCTCAGGGAACTGGGGTGGGCGTGGCCAGCTCGATGTCACTTGTGTTGGGGGCACCTGTGGTGGCCAAGCAGGACTTCCCTCTGACCCTCCCTCTCTCTCATTATAATCTCCCTCCTTCCCTTCTTTTTCCTTTCTTCTTCCTTCTCCTTTCCTTATTGTTCCTTCCTTGCTCTCTTCCCATCTTTCTTTTTCTTTGTCTTTCCTCTTTCCTTTTCTCCTTTCAGTCCCTTCTTGCATGCTTGAATGAAAAAGGGGGAAACATTTCTCCTTTTGCTTTATTTTTAGTTTGTTTTGCTAGCCCTCTGCCAGCAAAAATGGAGCTCGGGGGGGAGGGGGGGGCGGCACCCATTTTCAACCACAATGGCCTCCTGCAGCCCTCTGCCAGTGAAAACGGAGCCCAGCTCCTGCAGGAGGCCTCTGCAGCTGAAAACAGGACCCGAGAGAGTTGCACGCGGTCCTCCCAAGCTCTGTTTTTGCTGGCAGAGGCACCGCGGGCCGGTCCTTTGCTGTTTCCAGGGTGGTCCCATGGGCCAGATCTAACCCGGATCCATCTCCTGGGCCTTGAGTTTGACACCCCTGCTCTGTAAGGATCAGCTGAAGTTCAAGGAGAACAGGACAGTTTGATGTGGGTTTTTGGCAGGGCAGATACAATGACCTGACCTATCATATCATCTCCCTTTCTTTGCAAGGGGTGAAATTTTTCACTTGCCAGAATTTTGCAGTCATATAAAATAGATTTTACTGCTTACTAAGCTCTGGGAGGCTAGTCCGTTAACTTTCCCCATCCAAACATTTCATAATTTTCTTTCAGGATGTACAGTTAGAATCAGCTGGGTAGCAGTCCCATATTAATTAAAACCCTGAAACATTTATAATTTGGAGCCAGAATATACGGAGCTGGATACATTGTTACGACAATTGGCCATACATATTTTAAGCACATTGTCCTGTCATTATAAGAAAAGTATTTTCACTCACTTCATGGAGGTTACTGCCACAGGCATATTCCAAATTGCTAACATGGAACTGCAGCACTTTTTCCTCTAGTTCATTGAACTGGATACCAGATTCCTGAATAAAAACTTTATAGATTTCTTGAATTTTATCTGCAAATGTTTTAACAATTCAATAGTTAGTAAAAAGTATTCATTTATCTCAGTGTCCTGTCATTTCAGCAACGTATTTAAATAAAGTCCATACACGCGTACATATTCTCTCTACAATTAAAATGTAAGTAATTTGAACACTTAAACTGCAGACGTTTCAAAAAGAGTTAAACTCATTAACCTGATATTTATACCAGAATTTTTAAAAAAACTCTCTGGTCTTATCTAGTGAGCACTTTATGGTAGCATTTTACATGCAGATGGACAAGTCACCAAAAGAGACAACTACCCACTACCAATACACATTCATGTGTTAATCTGGTCAATATAAAGCCATAGTGAACCTAATAAATGCAGAACCTTACTTATTTTCAAGTTCAAGATACTTGTTACAATTTTCCCAGGTCCCACATAAAAGTGCAATTCTGCACTTACAAATGTTGTATATCTTCCTATCACTACAATAATTCAATGACACCTCTTAACAACTGGACTGGTTGAGTTTCAGCTGTTCATACATGCAAATGATGAATAAAATAAGTTTGAAGAAGAGACCATTTTAATTTTTTTCCTCAATGAGCAACATATGACCAAGCTTGTATTCTGGGTATTAAAAATATTTTTTCCCCTTAGTACATTGTATAAACTTGGCAAACTGTCCTTATTCAATAAACCATGTACATCTAGCTAGCATTCAAACTGGTCCAATTCATGAGTTCCAAGTGATTGCGCAAACATATAAATTAGACAAGTTAATACGTAAACAAATATATACTTCTATGGATGCAATATTCTGCTGCCATTGTTGCACCTTTTTTTTTACACTTTCCTGATTCTTTCTTACCTCCAAGAGGAATGTCGTGATGTTGACTTTTATCTTTTCTCCAATTTGCCACAACATCAAGGATAGAATTGAAATGAAAATCCATGCGCTTATCTATTGCAGGATCAGTTATTCTTCCACCTTCCTGGATCAAATCACACTTCTCTCCAATTTTGTGCATTTTAATGCCCAACTTTAGAAAAAGAAATTTTAAAGGTGGAACATGTGAGTAATTCAAACTTCATTTTCATTCATAGTAATACACAACAATCCCAACCAACAGCCATTGCAACAAAATATCGGTATTTTAAAGACAAGTAACCAGATTGGTATCAAAACAGGCAGCAAACAAAAATTAAGGAAACTTTTGAAATCTTTTCTATTATCTGAATCAATCATTTAATTTATCATAAAATATTTGTTAGCCTAGTTCCATGTGTCATGAAGGATAGGCATTCTAAATGACAAGGATTATTAACTGAAAATGAATAGTCTGTTGTTTACTGCAAGAGTGACATAATCCATTATAAATTTAAATCCATGATGCTGGAAGAAACTTTGGATGCAGAGGAGCCACCGTAGCACAGTGGTTAGAATGCAGTATTGCAGGCTAATTCTGCCGACTGCCAGGAGTTCGATCCTGACTGTCTCAAGGTTGACTCAGCCTTTCATCCTTCCAAGGTCGGTTAAAATGAGGACTCAAGATTGTTGGGGGCAATATGTTGACTCTGTAAACTGCTTAGAGGCGCTGTAAAGCACTATAAATCAGTATATAAGTACTATTGGTATCTGTAGCTTAATAGCAAATGCTAAAATTTTAAAATATGATTTATTTGCTCTTAAGAATTGCATTTACCTCCTCAAATCCTATTCCTCCATTTGTCCTTCAGACAAATCCTTGCTCTTTTCCAAGTGATAAAACTAAAGAAACATTTCTCAAATTTCACAAAAAACCTACAATTAGAATGCCTTCAGACCAAATCCTTCAGTGGAACACAAAAGTCCTTGCAAAATGTATCCAAAATAGAAATGTACATTTACAGGATCAATATATACTAAGCTTGTTATCTGCAATGTGTCATCTTCAAAAGTGCAACCCACTTGCTCACACATTAGTGCTATAGGATTATTGATACAGCCATTCACAATCTGAGCTCCTTTCCCCACAATGATCCCCTTGAAAGTCTTATCATCCCAGACTCGTCCACCAATTCTATCCTTTGCTTCCAGCACAAGGACCTGTAATATACAAACAAAGTAATGGAAGTGGTAAGAAACACTTTACTCCCGATTTTTTTTTAACAGTTAGTATAACATCCCAGAGTCAACAAGAGGATAAAAGAGTATTATCTAATTATGTGGGTTCTTTAGCAAGCTTTTGATATAATTACAAAAAGTGAGGTGAGACCTAAATAGGTGAGCCGTGGTGGTGAATGAAGTATTGCAGGCTAATTCTGCCAACAGCCAGGAGTTTGATTCTGACAGGCTCCAGGTTTGACTCAATTTTCCATCCTTTCAAGGTAGGTAAAATGAGGAGCCAGATTGTTGGGTGCAAAACGCTGACTCTGTAAACCGCTGTAAACTCTTAAAGCACTGTGAAATGGTATATAAGTCTAAGGGCTATTGATTTTGCTAAATGTAGACTCTTGAAGTGTTAAGCACAGACATAATCACATGAAGTTTTTCTTTAAAAAGGAAAGTGTAAGAAAACAGTTGAATCTATCATATCTTAATGCTGGCTAAACTCTACATTACACAATGAAACCACACCATAATAACTTCAAAGTCATCTTATTCTTTAATCTCTCCAACTAGATACTAACTCTGTTCCAAACTGTTCAATGGAATAATTCACTGGAATACTTTCTGGATTGTAAAGGTTCATGTTCAAGTGATTGAAATGTAATAAAATTATGCCAGAAGGCAGCAGTATTACAGTATCTTGATTTATATGAACAGGTCTTACTTTAATTCCAAAATTTTGAAGTTGTCTTGCAGCTGCTAATCCTGCTGGGCCAGCTCCAACCACAATTACAGATTTCTGCAATGAAGGAAAGATGGAACTATTACAAATACCATTTCTCTAAAGCTAGTCAAATAGACCGTACAAGACTTTGTACCAGTTGCATAAAATATAGAGATAATATTCCCATTGAAGCAATCTATTGCCAACTAGAGAAGTAATGCAGGTAGTCCTCAACTTATAACAGTTCATTTAGTTTGGGCTCAATTGTGGTTGTTAAGTCAAGGATTTCCTGAACTAAGAACATCCCAGAAATATAGTTTTTACCAAATATCTTTGTTGGGATGTTTCTGTACTTTCAGAATATTCTGAAATATAACCAATTTAATGATTAAATTTTAAAAGACCTACATTGTGGTAGTCTTTGGGAAGCAGGGCTTGGTCTGAATTAACTGACAAAACTCCTGTATTAATCAGACCTTTCCTGGTCATAAAATGAAGAATTCTTTCTGTCTCCCGAACACAGCGAATGCGTACAAGTCCTCGAACAATTATGTGATGAGTACATTTCTGAGGGGTTAGAGGTTCCTGTAGATTGAGGGAAGAAAACCAAACCCAAAAAGAGAAAAAGAGTCATGAAGCAGATCCAAAGCAAACCATGCAGCAAATTGTCTTGCAACCAAAGAATACTGGCTTATAATTATCTATACTTCTGAAAAATAATGACAAATAATCTTATGACACACTCAACAGTTTTACTGCATAATAATGACATCACCAACTAGATGGGACCAAGGTTTCCTGACTTTTGGAGCAGAAAGGATGACCGAAAAAGCAGAAGGGGACATTAGCCTGAATCTGAATATTTTCAAGAAATGAAATCAATTCCTTAAGATTGTGAATGACTTAAAGCACCTTTTTAAATCTCTCTTACAATCCCCATTTCCCTTCCCTGGGAAATCAAATTTTGGTTCAACCGATTCTAGAGATACATTGAAAACTTCCTTGCAGTTTGTAAAGCCATGGGTTGCATATCTATAAAACAGACCAACTATAGACCTGTTATCTTCCAAAGTTGTCATAAAGCAGGGGTCCCCAAATGTGGCAACTTTAAGACTTGTGGACTTCAACTCCCAGAATTCTGAGGAATTGAAGTCCACAGTCTTAAAGTTGCCACGTTTGAAGATCTCTGTTATAAAGCATTTCTTGAAGTTGTGGGAATCATAGCTCCCACACATGTGGAGAACATCGGGTGGAGGAAGGTTGTGGTGTAGCTTTCATGTGAAGAAATTATCCGAGTGAGATTATCAGAATTAAACGAGTGGAAAACGCATCCTTCAGAAAACAGTACTTTGCATTCCTCTATTTCCTTTTCTAAATATATATCCACCATATAAACCTCATGAATAAATTAATAAAGTAACAAGTGAAAAACTTTTAGACAAAAAGCCCTGGGTTTAGTGAACAAAGCACAAAGGTAGGAGAATTAGCTTGGACTTCTTTGCAAAGAAGTTTTAGAGCCCAGGAACAATCGCTAAGATGATGATGGCATGACAGAAAAGTTTCACAGTCCCACAAAGTTATCAAAACATTAAATTGGTGTTACTTGATAAATCTTTTGAGAATGTGTAAAACGTACTTTGCAGTTTGTGTACCACAAAGCCAGAATGAGATTTCGCAATGCTAAATACATGGTGGGGTCCCGGGAATATTCTGGAAACTCATAGAGTTCATCTAATTCCATGACGTCTGGCCTCACACACAAGGCTTTACCACATTCATTGGGCTGATAGAAAGGCTGGAAATATTTGTTCATCCCTGAAACACAAGAAAGACTCAATAGAACAGCAATAAGTTTTCATTCAGTAAAGGTAGAGTGTAACATTTCTGCAGTGCCACTTCTGAAACCAATAAAGGCTGTGAACTGGCAAAGCAAAACCAGTTCACAACTATAGACACAAAAAAACAAAATCAACTGCAACGGAAAACACACAATGGCAGTATTGACTGATCATTGAGAAAATAAATCTGCTTGAATCTACAACTGATAATGCCTACTCTCAGTCATAATTCAATTCTAAATGCAGAGTATTTAAAAGAAATCCTGACTTACCAGCTATGGAAGGTGGAGTCTTTAAGTTGTCCATTTTCATCGGACTGGATTCGCTAACCGATCGGTGAGTACTAGTACAAGAGGGGCTCATACCCACACAGTCTGGGTAGTATGCAGACAGCAGTGGAGCAGCCACGCTGTCCTTCAACAGGGGAGGGAGGATAAGCATGGAATACCACCAGTGATCTGAAACTTCAGCAACTCTCTAAAACGAAGCATTAGAGCAGAAGTCAAGAAGAAAAATCTTAGCAACAACTCAAGTTTCTTCCCCATCCCCAATATTGTTTCTCAATCCTGATGGACCTTTACATTAGAAGATAAATTGGACATGTGTATGTTTGTGCATATAATGATATATGTATGTATGTATTCATCAATGTGTGAAATTAGGCATTTTATAGAATGCCTTGGAAATTTATAGAATGCCAAAAGTGGGATGTCAAAGTAAGATACGTTTATTATCTCATACATTTCCTGGGCATTCTATGCAAAAGTGGCAAGATTTAAAATACTCCCACTAAAATCCCACTCTAGCCTTCCTTGTTGCAACGAATAGGTCATCATTTTTTTCTAGTTTGTCTTTTCAGTCAGAAAGTTCCGTACTTTACTTTGCATTTCTTCTTTCATTTTAATATACATCTTTTCAATATAGAATTAGAGTTAGGAATACTCTAACCCTAGCCCTTTTCATGATTCTCTTTTCACACTCTGCCTAAATATTTCTTGCCATTCTGCATGATGCCTAGGTATTATAAACAATGCCTAGGGAAAGTATTTGGCATGTTAAAATAATGCAGACATTTCATACTTTGCTTAAAAATGTCATATGTTCTATAGATTTCCTAGGCGTTCTATACAATGCCAACTTTTTACACGTAGCCAGTAACAAACCAATATACATACATACATCTGCCAATTCTATCAGTGCAAGGAAAGCTCTCTAAATAGGTCTTAAGGTATACAGATTACTCATTCGAGATGGTTAGAACTAGTTGAGCTAGTTAGCGTATAACAGATCATATAGCGTATAACAGAAAGGTTCAAGATTTTGTTGGGAAGGTAGAAGTGCTCCACTTTGATCTTTCTAAAACAGAAATAACAGGCAGACATAGAATAAGAATACTAACTACATCGCTTTAATTCAATGGCTCCGCATTCTCAAAAAGTGATCAGTTCTAAAATACAGGCAGCGCTCGACTTACAACAGTTCATTTAGTGACCATTCAAAGGTATAACAGCACTGAAAAATGTGACTTGTGGCCGTTTTGCACACTTAGTACCACTGCAGCATCCCCATGGTCATGTGATCAAATTTCGGATGCTTGGCAATTGATTCATACTTATGATGGTTGCAATGTCCTGGGGTCATGTGACTCGCCCTCTTAGCCATCTTCTGGCAAGCAAAGTGAATGGGGAAGCCAAGTTCACTTAACAACCATGTTACTAACTTATCAGCTGCAGTGATAACAACTGCAGTTGATAAGTTAGTAACAACTAACATAACATGGCCAACTTAACTGTGGCAAGAAAAGTTGTAAAATGGGGACTTCTGGTTTGAAGGGCTTCGGCAACAGACAGAAATCCGCGATCGTGAGCAGTTTCTGTCTGGGCTCCCCACTGGAGTGCCCCGAGCCAGCTGGTTTCGGGGCTAAGCCACCCCATAGAGGTGGTGAAGAACGGGGAGACTGCCAGCAGGGTTGAGGAGAGCTGCATCTCTCCTCCTCAGCTAGCCATTATTCCCTTTCCCGAAGGCAATTGCAGCGGTGGTCAGAAATGGCCACCACAAAGGAGAACTCGGCCGGAAAAGAATGTGCAGGAGGAAGATAAGAAGTGAAAGTTTTGGCTAACTGGGTTAAATTGTAAAAGCAACAACTAAGGTACCCTGGAATTTAAACTTACAAAAAATAACATCACTCCCAAAGAAGAGTCGGAAGCAGCGAAGGAAAGTGAAAAGGGAAAGGTTTGGCTTTTTTTTTCTTCTCTCTCCTTCCCTATACTGACAACTAAGAGACTTAAATAAGAAATCAGAAAAATCCGCTTTGACATCAATAGGCAATTAAGCTGAAAATAAAACAAAATGCCAAAGGGATAATAAAGATTTCTGGACACTAAAAAATTTTCTTTTTCATAAGCAGGAAGGGAGAGAAAAAGAATAAGGGCAGGATCTGGAAGAGGGAGGAGACTGCCTGGAATTAAAAAGAATCTACAGTAAAACTTCAACAAGACTTCTAAAAGATGCATTTTAACTGAAACTCTGCAACTAAATAGTAACCCCAGGAAGAGAAAGTGAAAAAAAAAGAGCAAAAAGGAAACAGCTTGCGTGTATTTGGATTACTTGGTGATCTTTGGATTCTTGGTTATTATATTTGAATGTCTAAAATCAATCGAGTGGTTGTTTAAAAAATTATACAATGGCACCACTTCTGGATGAATTGAAAATGGAACTTAAAAAGTACAAAGAAGATGCACAAGAAGGGAAGGGTTCTTTTGGCTTCGTTTTTCAATTCTTAGAAATGGAGATTTGGAACTATGAGAAACAACAAGAAACGACTGCAAAACAAGAAGATTGGGACAAAGAAGAAGCCATCTTTAATGAACAAGCAATTTTATGTGGGGAAGAAAAAGGAAAGGGGGGAAAGAGAATGGAGAAATTAAGACTTAAAAAACAACCAAAGAAAAGAAAAATAATTCAAAAAATAAGTATAATACTGGAAAGCAACAGAAAAGGGGAATACAGAAGAGAGAAATAGAGATAGAGAGACAAGGGGGTAAAAAGGGGAGAGAGAAGGAGAGGGAAGAAGGAAAGGAAAAGAATTTACAAAGGACCAGAGCAAGCTATAGAGAAACAGGACCTATTTAGAGATAATGGGTGAAAATCTAACTGAAAAAGGGATTCTGTAAAGGTACATAAGATTGTATTGTTATATTAGTAATAGAAATAACTTTAGAAAATTGGAAACAACATATGATTAAAATGAGGGATAAAATAGTTAGTGTAATTTAGTGAAATGTTTGTGAATAAAATAAGTGAAATAAAATAAATAAGAAAATTGAATTAGGAAGGAACGGGAACATTTTAATTAGTTAATGTTTTATAAAATATAAGTGAAGGGGGGGAATTAACTATGGAAAGCTTATAATTGTTCCCATAGAAGTATGATATTTAATTGAAAAGTAATGTTAAAGATGTTAAGACTTTAATGAATATTAATATTAATGACAGAATTGAATTGGAATGGAATGTTGTTTTAATTATATACATTTATAATTTTTTTCTTTTTTTAAAGAATACAGTGTGTATTTTAAGAATGTACCAAGCAGAATCCGAATGGAAGTTATGTATTATATTGAATGTTACAACTTTAGGGAAAAGATATAAAGGCGTCATACTCCAATCAGTAACTACAGGAGAAATTTTGTTTAATGAGAAAAGATAATAGATAATTGAAACAGGACAGACAAAAAATATAAATACAATGATTTGAATTGAGATGAGATAATTAAAATAAAATTGAGAAAATTAAAAGAGGGGAGAAGCTATGCAGAAAATGTAAAATAGTAATAAGATATGGAATAGAATATAAAAATGAGCATGAACCTGAATTTGTGTCTGTACGAAGAAATGTAACCTAGGATTACGCTACTTTCAAAAAAGATGTTTTATCTGTATTTTTTTTCTCTTTGTGAAAACTCAAATAAAATTTACAAAAAAAAAGTTGTAAAATGGGGCAGAACTCATTTAACAACAGAGGTTTTAGGTTCAACTGTGGTTGTAAGTTGAGGACTACCTGTAAAATTGTTTGAGCACATCATGGCCAAGCCTGCAGCTTTTATTAATGCATTAATTTTAATATCACAGGGACTGCTTACCAGATCCTCAGGCATGGCGCACTGGTCTGAACCTTCCACCTGGAATAAATAGAAGGAGCTTGAGTCTTTCCAGCTGGAACAAAACGCCCCCTATGAGCAGCTTTTTAAAAATAATATTCTGTGACTGAAGCAAAGGTATTGCTGATGTCCACTATCACACAACATTGCACCTGACACTCAAAGCTAAGGTGTGCCCTTTTTTTTCTAAGACACATGAAGCATTTTCTTCTGAAGGACAGCATTTTTAAAGAGAAACACTTGCCTTTGACAAGCAAGAAACAGATCAACAATTATGCTCAAAAACAACTGCTGTGCCACAGATGGTCCCTGGAACAAGTACCAACATAATGTCTTACCACAGCCTTAATAGCGGGGCGATCGTTAAAATCTCACAAGACTTTGGCATCCCAACATTTACAAGATTTCCAAAAGGAACATTAAAATATCTCGGTTTTTCCTTTTGTAAAATTAAATTAATTTCTTATTTAAGCTGTGAATCTCCTCTAAAATACACATTAGTTGCCTGTAAGTAACACACCCTTTATCCCCCAGAGACCCTCAAGAGATATTTGATGCTACAGAAAAGAATTGGAAATTAATACTTTAGTGCAAACTACAGGAGCTGCTCCTGTGAAATAACTGGTATGAATGGTTAGCGGGTATGAAGAGATGCAACAATGCAACTGTTTATGGAGCCACTAAGTATCAGATCCATGTATAGTACATTTCCTGGAATTGGGTATGTCTAGTTTGATGAAAAGAAGGACTAGGGGTGACATGATAGCAGTCATCCAATATCTCAGGGCTGCCACAAAGAAGAGGGAATCAAGCAGTTCTCCAAAGCACCTGAGGGCAGGACAAGGAGCAAAGGATCGAAACTAATCAAAGAGAGAAGAACCTAGAACTAAGGAGAAATTTCCTGATAGTTAGAACAATTAATCAATGGAACAACTTGCCTCCAGAAGTTGTGAATTCTCCAACACTGGAAGCTTTTAAGAAGAGATTGGGCAGCCATTTGTCTGAAGTGGTGTAGGGCTTCCTGCCTAAGCAGGGGGTTGGACTAGAAGACCTCCAAGGTCCCTTTCAACTCTGTTATTCTATTCTATTCTATTCTATTCTATTCTATTCTATTCTATTCTATTGCCATCCACATACATGCAAGCTCACAGAAGCACTGTATAGCTGGGGTAGAAGTAGAAACAACCAAGCCTATTCCAATGCAAATGGGTGTTGAAGGTACCTTAGCAGAATTGTTCAGTTTCATGCCACAGCGATATGCTTTGGCTATTTGTGAGGTAAGTTGAATTTCCTTTGTCAATTGACGCCACTTCCCACACTCCGCCTTTGTGCACTGAACCTATGGGGTTAACAAATGACATTTTAAGAATTATAAACGCAGGCAATGAAATTGGTTGAGAAAGTTCAAATGAACTTGAGTTATATTTAGCCACTTTATTTCAGAAACATTGCTGGAAACTACTCGAAGCTTCAATGAGAAAACAACACAAAGCAGGCACAAAATATCTAGGAGCAGACCTTCTGCTTTCCATGAAGACGTCTTGGAGTCAGGTCCTGAGTAAGGGCTGAGAAAATTCCCTGCTGGAAACCTTAATAGCTTGTATTAATTATCACCTTTCTTCTGAGAGCTCAAGGAAATGTGGGGATCTTCTTAAATTAATTTTTGCAGAATGTTATTTTATTCAATGGCAAAATTCTAAGACACCCTAGGATTACTTACAGTGACACCAAATAAATGTATGCGGACAATGTCTATCCAATCCTTATTACATGTTCTAATTAATTGAATGGGTTACCTATTCTGGATTTTTACTATAGGAACTCAAAATCCTTACCCAATAAGGAAGCTGTTGATCAGCCATAAAAGCTTTTGGACTGGGTTCACTTTTTCCATTACTAGTCCAGATCCTTTTCCATGCGGTGTATTTTTCATAACCATCTTTATGACTAACAAAAGTAGAAAAAGAAAGTGATGAGTATAAGATTTCTATAGCTTATCTAAATGGTCAATATTAAGGGGAAAAGGCAGTCATTAAAATAATAGGACCATAGTCAGTAGGGTTTTCCTATATGTAGACAGGAAAAAAGTTAAAGTCTCCACATAGATTTCTGGTGAGATCACAGAAAGATCTATTTAATTTTTTTGGTAGTAATACAAAAGCACTTTGCTATTGTTGCCTTCTGGCACTTTGTTCTAGACTATAACTGGGAGTCTCCCAGCCAAATATTAACCAGACTTGCCCCTGCTTAGCTTGCAAGCCCAAACAAGGCAACTCAGGTATATCCAATTGCTGAGGCAAAACTAAGCAGAGATTCTAACAAGTACTTCATGGCAATGCTATGTTGGTTAATCCAGGGGTGACCTTGAATTCCATCCCCTGCAATCATGGACATCTAAATCTACACAACGATTCCACTATCACACGGGTGTCAAACTCACCATGTCACATTGCCATCACATGACATTTCATGACATTTTTCCCCTTTGTGGAGCTGGGGTGGGCGTGGCCTGCACATGACATGCACGGCCGCCAGTTTGACACCCTTGTACTATTAGATTTGTTTCTTCAAACTAAAACTTGGGTTGTATCCAACTTCAACTATCAGCCAGAACTGGACTTCCTAGCATAGGGGTGTCAAACTCTTGGCATCATGTTGTCATCATGTGATGTATCATGACTTATTTCCCCTTCACTAAATCAAGGGTGGGTGTGGCTAGCACGTAATGCATCCAGCCTAGGGGCCGTGAATTTCACACCCCTGTCTTAGAAGATCAGATTCTTTGCCTCCTCTGTAACCAACATCCACGTGACCCTATCTGCTGGGAAGTACAAACTGAAGTTGCTTTCACAAACAGCCAGGCTTTAAAGTAGATGCTTATCTCCAAATGCTTCCAATTCAAGGAGATACCTGAATACTTTATGGTTCCTCACAAGTTCTAGTTGCAAGTATTCGTTATGTAGGGAAAGGTTGCAAATGAAATTAAGCTCTATTCAAGCCACCTGTGAGTGAGCTGGGAGCAAGTGCTCCTTTTCCTTTCCATGTGCATTCAATACATTCTTAGCAACAGGGAGACAAAAAGGACCAAATTCTAAAATATGTTTTGCCTTTAGACACAGTTTTGAAAGAGAATATCTATTAATATCTTAGTATTATTGCACCTTCTAATACAAGATGCTCAGGTTGTCCAGGGCACCCTGAAACAGTGCCTGCAAAACAGCCAACATTTCTGGTAAATAGCAGATTGCCTACTCTCCCAAGAATTTAACATTCCCACATGATAAAAGATACTAACATTCTTGCATTAAATTCATAAACTCTTAGGATGGGGATTGATATGTTCCCAAAGTATTTATGGCTCTCTTGAGATTTTAGGCATTTTCTTTGTTAATGGGGGTGGTCGGAATCTGGACCTAAATATATTACCAACCTGGTTCTAGAAAGAAGCAAAATACCTGGTTCAAAATCATTAAAATGTTTTGATTGATAGATAACTAAGAGTTGTACAGTACTACAAATGTAACAGTTACATTTAATCTCTTTATTAAAAATCCAATCCAAATGGGAAAAGCACAGAACTATGGATAATCAATAATTCCAAAAGTTGCTCACCTAGGAATAGATTCCACTAAAACTCAGTGTGGTTCACTTCCGGGGAGATTATGCTGTAAGTCTTATCAATTTTTCTTGTTTGAAATTGCTAATGACTATAAGATTTTGCTACTGAATGAAGTTGTTTCAGAATATAAACTCTTAAATAAGATTACCTTCTGTAGTAATGATCAAAGCATTCATTACAGAAATGTTCCCCACAGGATAGATGATACCACCTTGATGTATAGCCATTTTTAGCACACCTAAAACAGAAAATATTTTAAAACTCTGTTTATCAAAATGATATGCTTTGCTCTACAGCAGGGGTCCCCAAACTTGGCAACTTTAAGACTAGTGGATAGCATAGCTGGCTACAGAATTCTGGGAGTTGAAGTGCACAAGTCTTAAATTTTCCAAGTTTGGAGACCTCTGCTCTACAATTTCAGTTTGCTTCTGATGAAGCACTTCTTCTTATTCATACTTGAAATAAAAGTCACGAACAGGAGCTATATAACACCCACGTATGACAGATTTGAAATCATTTCATTTACAGGGAGTCCTTGACTTATGGCTGGAAGGATACCCATTTATCATCCATTACACAATGATTTGAAGAACTCATCTACATTTTGTCAAATATAGAAGCAGAGCTGTGTTTTTTCAAATCACTTTGTAATGGATGACAAATGAAAGATTGCTTTGAAATTTGGACTGCATGTTATTTGCTCGGCTCCCCCTTTTTCCCACAGTTAAACAAAAATGAATTAACTATTAATAATTTAGTTATATAACTTGACATGAATACATAAACAATTAATTTTAGTGAAATGATTTCTGGGCAACAGCAGTATAATAACCTACATGTTACAGTCTAGTTTTAGTATACAGGGCAGGTAAACTTTATTTTTTCCCCTTTTTGCTTTCCTTGGCGTATAATAATAAAATGAATAGAAAAATAAAATGAAAATTCCTGAATTAAAAAAAAGGAAAAATTATTGTTGTCATTATTATTTAAATTTATGTCCTGCTCAGCTCCCAGAGACTTTACAATTGTTAAACCATTTAGAAGCAAGGAACAACTCCTAACTAAGATCATTAAAATCTTACGAACAAAACTTTTTGATATCTTGGCAAAATACCACAAGATTTCAACACTGAAGTTTATAAGATGGCAGTGATAGCCTTACCAGATAGACGAGACAGGAGACACAACCCAGAAAGCCTATTCTATTTCAATATAAAGCTACATTAACAGAATCTTCCAAATCTGAAAGTACAATTCTCATGCCATCTCATTTACAGCTTTAGAAACTAGGGAAATACCCTTCTGAGCCTCTTGTCCTACCCACTATCCAGCTACAGGCCATGCTGTCTCGCATCTGCCTGTTTCCCCGAGTAGCATCTCTTTGCCCTGGTCTACCAAGGCCTTTCCCACATCTCATTACAGGCAACAATCAAATTGCAAATCCCCGTATTGAGAATGTCCAAAACTAGTCCAACCTCCAAAAACCCAGGGAAAACAAGAGAGGTCAATCTTACATTGGCTTTACTCAGTTGAGAATAAACAAAGCAAAGTCAAAACTCAATTTTATCATGCTGAAGATATATATCTTCCTGAAAGATATGAGGACTGGGAGGGGGGGAGGGGGCAGAGGGTGTTGGAGTAGAAGAAGAAAGAGAATCACCCATGGGTCTTCAGGCTACTTGAAAGACCATGTCATCCCATTGGGATTGACCCGCCCCACTTATGCTGGTAGAGGCGGCATGCTGTAGGCCAGTGGTGGGATTCAGCTGGTTCGCACCACTTTGGGAGAACCAGTTATTAACTTTTCTGAGCAGTTTGGTGAACTGGTTGTTAGATGAAATCATTAGGGCAGAGAACCGGTTGTTAAATTATTTGAATCCCATCACTCCTGTAGGCCCCCTCGGCCAGGGTATTCTGGCTGGCAAGATCCAGGACTAGGGCCTCCTCTGCTATTGCACCTGCCCTCTGGAACAGCTTGCTCCCTGGGGTGAAGTTAGCTCCAATCCTCCTGATTTGCCAAAAAAACTGGCTCTGGGAGTTGGCTCAGAGCTCCAATGGAGAGTTCTCACATTATCCTCTTCTCACCCTACTCCTCATCTTTGTAGTTAGGGCTCAATAATTGGGATCTTTATAGTATTTCACTTATATCATTTAGGTTTTGCTTATATTAAAAATAAAGTAAGCCTCCCAGGGTTACCCCACGGGAAGATGGACGGCCAATGAATTTGACAAATAAAAATGAATAAATAAATAAATAAACCCAAACCTTTCGGCGGCGCTAGCAAAGCAGACCGGGCAAGTTGCAGTACACCCTGCTTTTTCACATTTCCGGTATTTCTTCTCCAATATTTCTTCATCCTCCTCGGCTACCTCTGCTGCCTTTCTCCTCACCTAATGCATCACAGAGAACTTTGTGACTAAAGAGGTTTGTCTGTTTACCACCACATAGGATGACAGCCTTGATTTCTCCTGCATCCCTATTCCATCCAACCGTCTGAATTCATAGGGAAATGCTACATGAGTAGCTGGGCACAGAAGATATTTTTTTGAAAAAAAAAAAACTGTCAAGACTTGGTAATATTGTGTATACAGTAGATCTTCCTTTGAGTAAAGCAATAATAAACAGCAGCCTAATAATCCAAATATCATAATTGTTCTCAGAGGGGAAAAAGCAGTATTCCAGGCGTCACAAAGGTCAAAAGGCAACCGGACTTGCGTGGTTTTTTTCCTTGAAAAAATGTTTCACTTCTCATCTCATCTATCCCTTGTCTACAATAGAGTTCCCCAATCTTTCCAAGTTGGCGGTCCAAAGTGGGGGGAGGTGGGAAATAGGGGATGGTTTGGGGGGGGGGGCAGGCACATGCACACAAGTGGGGCCATGAGTACCCATGACACTCACACGAATGAGGCTTTGTGCACAGATATGTGCAAAGTGGCCCGCTTACTCATTCGACCCGGTGGCCAATAGGCAGCGGCCCAGGAGTGGGCTGCAACTCAGTAGGTTGGGGATCCCTGGTCTACAGCACAGTCCTTTCAGCAGAAGGGTATACACCCATTTGCACTTTGATTCAGGTGACCCTGAGGCTGTAGGTAAATCCCCAAGTGGCCCCAATGCTTCTCAGAGACCTAACGAGTCTAAGGACCAGATGACTGCAAACAATATGAATCCTTCTATTCTCCACCATTCAGTCAGAACTGAAGAAGGTTCTTGGATGAGAAGCTAAATGTTTTCAAAGGCAAAAAAAGGAAAGTCCAGTTGCCTTTTGAAAAGCATGTTTGGGATAACCGTGACATGGATGATTGAGAATCTCCATAGACATTATTCCAGATAGGAAACAGCCCAGTCTGCAACCATATTATTATTTATTTTAATGTGGGGGGCAGGGTGTGAGGCTAGATATCTTTTAATGCTGTAAACTCCTTCAATATTCCAGTTGAAAAGAAGCTGAATTTTTAAATGCATCACAATAGGGGCAACTAAGATTCAAATGCTTAGATTCCAATGCACAAATACTCTTTGAAGAAATAACCTTAATAGGAATCTCTGCTCAAACATTTGAGCCACCGCAGAATCCAATATTTTCTCTCTCCCCTACATATTCAAAATGGATATATATACGTATAAGTATATGTCAGAGTTTGCAGCAATCCAACCAGCACACAAGTTAATAATTCAGCAAGATTCATTTATTGAAGAAACTTGTTATATACAGTAATATAAAACGTGATATATGCATACAATACTGATGCAGCTCTTTCAACGTGGTAGCAAGTTCAAGGACAAGAAGCAGAAGCAATCAGAACTATCAGAACTCAGAATTCACAGGTCTATATTTATACATACCAGTTACCCTAAGCCATACTCAGCCTCCAAGCTGTCTGACATGGCTTACAACAGGTGCTGTTTCTTAGTCACCAAACAGTTCCCATTGGCTGACTTGTTATGGCTATCCCAGCTCATAATTTCTTATATGCTGACAACACACACACACACACAGAGTGCATGTGTGTATATATATATATAAGTATATATACATATCAATATAGCATGTATATGTGTATGTTATGTATATGTATGGGTAGAAGTATCTTTCTTTTGGAGAGCAGGCAACAGAATTTCATTTTTAATGTTTCTCAGTGTGCTTGCAGTAAAAAAAAACGACAATAAAGGTTGCTTTATCTTATTGTATCTAATGCAAGAGTGGAGATGAAATAATTTATCTTGCCCTCTCCATTCATAATTGTTGCCTAGCCTCCTGCCTCTATTCATTTGGCAGATAATGGTCAGCAGCAAAGGGTTGTTTTGCACACACATTGCTGTCCATGTAACATACAACCATACAAACTCAGTGTTTTGAATCAAATACAAGCTTCACTCTTCCAACAGCTGAATAGCAACAGAGCAGTAGACAAGAAGAACACAGACAAATACAGGGGAGGAAAGATGCATCGGAAATGCAAATGTATGCTCACTATAAATAAGATTTAAGTGATTGCCATTTCCATTTCATTTATATATTTAGAAAGACATACAGTACCTGTCTCCCTGAACTTCTCAATGGAAGATTATCAGGTGCTTGATCTAAAGCAGTGACCTTTTTCTTCGTTCGGACTCTGCCAGCTGACATGGTACTGGAGGGTTTAAAAAAGAGAAAGAGGAACATTAAGCAGTCTTCTTAAGGGAGAGTTTGAAGTGTCCTGCTATGCTCCCTAGATAAGAGAAAAGTCCATATTTGGTCTTACTTATAGGTACCATTCCATCAACTGATCCATCTGTCCGCTGAACTGGGAAGAAGGAAACTTGAAAGAATTTCTTTTTAGGAGCACAGTATAAAGAACAAAGAGTAATCATAACAAAGCTCTTCATTCCCATCCCTCAACATACGTAACATCCATGGATTGCCCTAGACCCTGAAGAAAATCTCTGTTGGCCTTGGCAAGAAAAGAGAAGAATGGTTCTTGAAGAAAATGAAAGAAGTTCCTTTATGGTCAACATAAGGTTACATCCAGTAAAACGCCACCTAAAAGTTGTTGGGAAAATGCATATATTTAAAAGGTTCCTCTGCTGAATTTGTTTTCATCTGCCCAAAACCTGCAATTCCCAGGAGATCCTACTAGCTCCCTATTTTTTTAAACCAAAAGGGAACAGAAGCCCATAGACCTCGCTTTTCTGCTTTTGGGATGGTGTTTCGGATCTTGTTCTTACTAAAATTCAACCAGCCCTTGCTTTATTAGTTTGGAATGTATTAAAGGCAGAATAACTTAAGAATTATTCATAATTATGAAGGTTGCCATCTATTTATATTTTCTGACTGCTGTTCTGACTGTATTGTGTTGTGGCTTTTATGTTACTTTGTGGATGTTTATTTTAGACCAGGATTTACTGAAACGTGATTATTGTAACTTGCCGGATGTTTGTCAATTGCAGTAAACAGAAATCAATCAAGAAAATACTTCAGCCCAAGCAATAGCAACCTGGCATGACAACTTTTCATCCATCAGGATATTCTGAGATACACCCTAGACAGATAAAATAACCCTCAGAAAGTGAGTGTAACTTTACAGAGACTCCAAGCACAGGCTGGGTTTATTAAAAACAGATCCTGCCAGACAAACCTTGTTGCCTTCTTTGATAAAAGTGACTAAATTACCAGATCAAGGAAATGCTGTGGATAGAGTTTACTGGGGCTTCTGTAAGGCATTTGACAACAATAGATTTAGATTTAGTAGATCACAGCCTACACCTTGATAAAACAGAACAATGTGAGATGGACTATCACTCAAGTACAAGGCAGCAGCCTGCTGCAGCTGCCAAAAAAGCCAATGCTGTTCTAGATTGCATCAACAGAAGGGTAGCATCAAGATCACCAGAAATGATACCAGTCTATATTGCACTAGTGAAGCCACGCTTGGAAAACTGCATCCAATTCTGGTCACCCCTACACAAAAAATATGTTGAGACCGTAGAAAGAGTACAGAGAAGAACAATAAAAATAAGGGATCTGGATCATAAACTGTATGATGAACGGTTACGGAAAGTAGGTAACGAGGAAAAGAATTAGGAGGGGCAGCTGTCTTCCAGTACTTGAAGGGCTGTCACAGAGAAGAGAGGGTTAACTTATTCTTCAAAGCACCTGAGAGCAGGACAAGAAGCAATGAGCAAACGCTCATTAAATAGTGATCCAACCTGGAACTATTATAAGAAGAAATTTCCAGAGAGTGAGAACAATTAATCAACGGGACATTTTCCTTCCTGGAGTTCTGGGTGCTGGGAGGTTTTTAAGGAAAGATTTTGTCTTTCGTCCAGGATGAAATTGACATTCAGCTGAAGTTTTTTTTTTTTTTTTAAGAGAACTGAAAAATCAATATACCATAGAAGATTGTCAGGAACATTTACTGCTCATCAACTCCACAATTCCTTATGGACTATACAAGTAGTCCTCAACTTATGGCCATAATTGAGTCTGCAATGGTCATAAGCATGAAAAACGTGTCACTTTTTTCTATGCCATTGTAACTTCAAATGGTCACTAAATGAACTGTTGTAAATAAGAAGACGGGTTGCAACTGCATGAGAAAGAAGAAAAATTATGGTTCCCGTAAGTTTCATAATAGAAAGGGCAGTTTTCTTTTCACCTAGGAATCCAAGAACCCAATTTTCAGAGGTTCAGTCAAGTCAATCTGCAATAATACAACAAAAAAAGAAATAAATCATTGTAAAGACAAAGGAAAGTGGCATAAACCGCACGAGCTCCTTTCTCACTCCTCCCAATTTCCTCTTTTCGACAAGAAGTAGAAATATCAAGTCCATTTCCAATCATAATTTTTAAAAAGCTTTATTTATATTCATTCATGCCCAGCCGCCTAGAAGGGAAGCACTTCTTTGGATCCCCCCAATTCAACACTTCACTGTCTCCAAGGAGACAAAAACCCGGCCTGGAAATCTTACCCACCTCTGGTCTTCCCCTAATCCTGATGAAGCTTCGTAGAGTTTTATTTATTTTATAATGTATTTTATTTTATTTTATTTTCCACCCTGCCCCTTGTAATAATGAAAAGACGCTCTGCCCATGGTATGTGTCTGTCTCTCTGTGTGGAGGGGAGGGGAGGTGGCGCCCCGGCAATGAAACTGCGCTCCAGTCACCAGAGCGAAGTCCCTTTCAAAATTCAGCATCTGCAAGGCAAGAAGCAAACCCCCCCCTTTCTTGCACAAACGCCCCCGATCTACACATTTATATATATATATATATTTGCAACAGAGGATTCCCCTGCGGAGGACATGCAGCTTGGGGAGGAAGGAGGGGGAGAGAGACCGCGGGTCAAAGAAAAGCACAAAAGACCCTCAGCGGGGCCACTTTAACGTTCCCCTCCCCCCACCGCAAGAAGGAACGGGCGCCTCGGTTCCTCCAGCCGTAGGATCCCCGTTGGATCTCTTACCCCTCCGAGCCAGAGACCTTCCCGCCGGCCGACCCAGCACCCAGCTCCACCGCAGCTGCTTCCGCTGGTCTCAGCGCGGGGCGTGTCGGGCGAGGGGAGGAGACAATGTTGCCAGCCCCTCGCTTCCTCTTTTCTCCGCCCGGCCGGCCGCGCAGCCTGGAGAAGGGACGTCGCGCATTGCAGCAGCTGCGCCTCCGGAGGAGCTGAGCCGCGCTTCGCCTGTTGCCGCCCCGTCCCCACCACCGCTTCCTCTTCGCTCAGGTTGCTGTTGTTGTCGTTTCCCGCCACTTTGTTCCGGCTGCTGTTGTTTTTCTCGGGTTGCAGGTCCGAGGGAAGCGGGGGGGGGGGGGGGGGGGGGGGAGGGGTCCTTGGTGCCTTGGTGGTTTTCTTGCAGACGTTTCTTGACCAAACTAGGTAACATTATCAGCGTTATCCCAGAGGTGCTTTTTTTTCCAGAGACAACTGGACATTCTGTGTGTTTTTTTCCTTCTGTGTGTTTTTCCGTTTCGCTTCTCATCCAAGAAGCTTCTGAAGAGCTCAAGAAGCTTCTTGGATGAGAAGCGAAACGTCTTCAAAGGAAAAAAACATGAATGTCCAGTTGCCCCTTGGGGGAAAAAAAAAAAGCACTTTTGCGACAACCATGATCTGGGTGACCGGGAATCTTCATAGACATTATCAGCGTTAGGTGAGGGAAGGAGGTGAAAAGGCAGGCCGTCAAATCAAACTAAGCCGCTCGTTTATTTCTAGGCTGGTTTCTTTTCCATTTGTGGGAACACAAGGATGGTATTCAGGATAGTCTGTGGAGGTTCTCAATCATCTAGCTTAGAGTTGTCCAAAGTTGCTTTTCCAAAAGGCAACTGGACTTTTGTCTTTTTTCCTTGAAAACATTTCGCTTCTCATCCAAGAAGCTTCTTCAGTTCAGAACTTGGATGAGAAGTGAAACATTTTCAAGGTAAAAGCCAAGAAAATCGAGTTGCCTCTTGGAAAAGCACCTTTGGACAACCCTGATCTGGACTGAGAATGTCCATAGACTCTCCTGAGTGAACACTATCCTGGTGTTCCTACAAACGCAGGATAGTTGATATGAAATGTACAATAAGAGTGAAATCAATGCAGTGAACAATCAAAATAAAATGACAAACTGATGTATTTTCATTTTAATGTGTGGCTGCATCTGGTTGATCCTGGCTGAAGTTCGGTATTTGAATGGGCGACCACCAAAAGATTTTAGGGAAGAAGGAAAATGGCTTGGAAGAAAGCAATAGCAAACAACGTCCCTAATTTGTCAATTTTTACTGAAGTTTCAGTGGAGTCTTCAGGAATTTAGATCCAGTCAAGGAAGTCTATGCTGGCTTACATTGGCTTGATTTCAATTCAGTGACTGCTAGTTTGCTAGAAAATGCAATGAACATTCAGTTTTACTTCTGAGCGGAAAGAGATATACAACTGCAGGAACGTTAGAGCCCAAATGCAGCTTTCAGTTTTAAAACTTTAGAAATGGTAAGGGGACACGGTTGTTCAGTGGCTAAGATGCTGAGCTTGTCGATCGGACAGGTCAGCAGTTTGGCAGTTTGAATCCCTAGCACCACATAATAGAGTGAGCTCCCTTTACCTGTCCAGCTTCTGCCAACCTAGCAGTTCAAAAGCACGTAAAAATGCAAGTAGAAAAATAGGGACCACTTTGGTAGGAAGATAACAGCATTCTGTGTGCCTTTGGTGTTTAGTCATGCCAGTCACATGACCATGGAGATGTCTTCGGACAGTGCTGGCTCTTCAGCTTTGTAACAGATGAATCAATAAAACATCTAACAGCAGGAAAAAAACCAACCTGAACGTTGGAGGGTACGACCAGTATATTTTAATGTGCTGGACAAAGCAGCATTTGAAAAGAAGTTTAACATCTTCTCCAAAACTAAAGAAAAAAAAGACCCATGGGAATGTTTTAAATAATGAAGGGAATCACACAGGCAGAGATGGGTTTTCAGATAGTTTGTTCTACAAAAAATATTGAAAGACTGCCACGGTTTTGAAACAAGCCCAGTGAACTTTCGCCACATCGTTCTATCTGAACTTTCTGGATATTCTAAAAGAGTAATCTTCCATCACCGGGACCTTAAATTAGAAAAGAACCCAGGAAAGTAGTGGCTGACATCTATCTCTTTAATGTCAGTTAGGAAAACACATCTATGGGAAGTAGGAAGCCACCCAAGGAAACAGCTGAAAATTAGGCAATAGATATGGTGGATATGTGCTTTAAACAAATCAGGAAATTGGGAAGCCGTTACTTGAAACTGTCTTCACTATTCAAATGAGCAAGGAGAATTTTGAATCAATTTAGGATTTAGGATGCTATGAAATTTGTTGTGGGTCTGGTAGCAGTGTGGTAGCATTTTTTTTTGTAACATATTTGGGGTTAGAAATCATGCTGAAGTGAATCATCATGATGATTGCAACTCAGAGAACACCATTCTGCCCTTTGTCCTTTCCCTGTCTTGCAGACATTCATTAACATAACCATAATTCATGCTCTTTCTTCCCTCCCTCCCTCATACACACACTACTTTCACTTATTTAGGGAATCAGCAAACCTGTATGTTATTGGATCTATGCTGTGGAATGAACTACGAGGAAAGCCAAATATAATTCTTTAAATAGCTATTTCCGCAAATAGTAGCTCTCTGCATATGTTGCACTGTTGTTTTAAAAATGGTTTTTAGCCTGAGGGTGTAAAACCCTTTATCTTATGAATGTAGAAAAAGGTTTTTTAAAGGAATAATTCACGGATAGTTTTTGAATATGTCAAACTGTACAAAGGTTGTCTGGACCATGGAAAATTCCTCCAGCTCCTCTAGAAATGAAGATCGTGATGATCCAGAGTTACAGTGGGATCGAGTGATGACCGAAAAAGACTGGCTAAATTGCTGGGAAACAAACAATATTGGATTTCATAAAAAGGAAGAACATCAGTAAGTATTCTGCTAGCCAAGGAATCCTCTTGACTTTCAGCTGATAATCACTTTATTTAAAAAAAGAAAAAACATTGCTACTTTGCAAAATGTCTGAAAGAGGCCTGGCTCATTCACAGCATAGCTGCCAAGGGGCATATGACCTCTTTTGAAATGCCACTTCATATTTTGCCATTTTTTCTTTTGATTGAGCTGCAGTCACCAATTAGGTTTACGGAGCCATTTTGGGCTCAGAGATATTCTTGAAATAAAAGTGATACTGTCACTATATTTTTTTTTTACTTTAGCACATTCGCTTCTGTTTATTGCATTTTTATACAGTGGCACCTCAGTATTCACCATTAATTGGTTCCGGGAGGTGCAATGAGTACTAAAAATTATGAACACCAAAAAAAATTTCCCATAAGGAATAATATACTGACTCCCAAGTTAGCCAACACCAACAAATTCTAGCTTGTGCATTGAGTACCTAACAAATGATGAGTACCAGGACAAGATTTGCACGTCAAAATGCATTGAGTATCACATTCGATAAGTTTCAAAGCAGTTGAGTACCAAGGTACTGCTATATGCAGTATAGAAGAGTCTAGAGATGTCCCTGAGCAACACCTTGGTATATGGTACTAGTACACTAGGGCAGATTTTTTTTTCCCTTTTCCCCTCTTTCCATCTCTCCCTCCATGCCATGCTTATGATCACAAAAGTTTTATTAACACTCATAGCCATGGAAATATATTTTGAGGACTATTAATTCAGGAGAGTTAATTATTTTGCTTTGCAGAATCATAGGGTAAATGTGTTCAGGTCTGATAAATTCAATATTTCCAGATATCAAGGAAGTCCTTTAGGTATTGTTCCAAGGGTTCCAATCGCTATTGGTGTAACAATGGATTTCTTTTTCCCTAAGCATTCAGCTTTGATCTGCAAGTTCTGATATATTTTGTAATTGTTTCCTGTTGTTTTTCCTCAATCCTAGCATCATCTGGAACATCAATGAATCAGATTTTTGTTTTCTTTTCAACAACTGTTATATCAAGCCTGTTATGAACAAGATGCCTGTTTGTTTGTATCTTAAAATCCTATAAGATCTCAACCTGCTCATTTTCCAAATCTTCTGAACTTGATGGTCCCAATAATTTTAACATATTCCAATCCATACCTCTGCCAAAAGTTTCCAATGAATAATTCTGGCAACTCAATCACGATGCTCTTTATAGTCAGTCTGTGAATTTGGCTTCAGCCCACTGATCAAATAGTCAATTCGTTCATCCTTTTTATTACAATTTTCCCCTTCATGCCAATTAACTGGCAATTCTTGTTCTTGAGCTGGTAAAATAAAGCCTTCAGTTTCTTTCTTTAAGACTCTTGATCTTAACCAACTCCATGTGGGTTTTAAAATAAGTTTTCCTTCTATATCCTTCAAGTATTGACCATACATTTACTTGTTCTTCCAAATAACAAACTGCTTTGCAATTGTTTCTTTTCTATATTCAGTCTTCATCTTGTTGTTTTCAAGCGCTTTCCCTGGTTGACTGCCTTCAGCTTTTGTTAATGTGTAGCCCTTCAGGTCATGCTGAAGAAAGCTCACTATTTGAATTGGTATTTTACAAATTATTAATTGGTTCTATAAGAACCTGAGTGTTGCTGTATGTTCTTTAAAAAAAATAACATTTACTTTTCTCTTTTTCTCCCCAGGTTCCTGAAGAAATACTTGGATATTTTTGTCAATGGCAGGAAGGAATTAAGAATATTTTTTCCACTTTGCGGGAAAGCTGTTGAAATGAAATGGTAAATGATTCATCAGATCATTTCAGTTTTATCTAGATTATGTTATACTACTTCATGGATATAAACAAATAACAACTAATAAAACATGGGGGAAAAGATTGGATAATTTTGCTGAGTCCCTCATGTATTTTCAGCTGTGTGATAATTCTCCTTCACTAGGTAAACTTAAGCCATGTATAATGGTACCTTGAAACTTATTAAATTTGGTCCTCAATGCATTTTGACACAATAATTTTTCCTGTACTCATTGCTTGTCTGGTACTCAATGCACAAGCTAGAACTTGTTGGTGCAAGCTCCTTGTGACTCACTACATTATTCCTTATGGGAAAAAGTTGTTTGGTGCTCATCGTTTTTGGGTCTCATTATGCCTTCCAAAATCAATTGATGATGAGTACTGAGATACCAACAAGTTCTAGCTTGTGCATTGTGCATTTCAAAATCTTCACCTTGCAAAACCATTCTTCTCAAGCTGAGAAATGAGCCAGCTTTCTTGAACATGCCATCCTCCAGAGCTTTGGACTTTAGCATCCATCATCCACAAACATTAATGGACCAGCTGGGACACATGGAGCTGGAATCCAAACCACCTGAAGACTGTCTAGTTGTGAATATGGATTAGGATTTAAACAATTTAATCTTAAATCCAATTTAAAAAGTCTCCCTTTATAGCTGAATCAATTTATTGAGACAAGCCATTGTCTGTTAAAACAAGCAGAAGCTGTGCCAAGACTCTAATAATCAGTTAGACCCTTTACAGTCAGCCAGAGACGTTAACTGAGAGTGACACTCAATAGAGAGTTATGATTAGAATAGGCTGAGGCTGAAAAACATGCAACTGTCTAGATATTGCTCAATTATACATGAAGTCTTGACTTACAACCATTTGTTTAGTGATGTTCTAAATTACGAAGGCACTGAAAAGAGTGGTTTATGACTCTTTCACACTTACGACCATTGTTGCATCCCCATGGTCACATGATCAAAATTCATCTGCTTGGCAACTGGCATGTATTTTTTTTAAGTCGCGGTGTCCCAGGGTCACCTTTTGCAACCTTCTGAAAAACAACGTCAGTGAGGAAGCCAGATTCACTTAACCGTGTTACTCACTTAACAGCTGCAATGATTCAGTTAACTATGTTATAAAATGGGTCAAAATTCACTTAACAACTGTCCTAGTTAGCAATGGAAATTTTGGGCACAATTGGGGTTGTATGTCGAGGGCAACCTGTAGTTCCTACGTTCCTAAGCTTAATATCCCAACAACATCTGGAACGGTAATCGCTTCCTGCTCCAAGAATAATCAATAAAATATGAAGGTTTTCCCGTTTGTAACGCAACCCATTTGGATGCACATACTTTTTAACATATTATAGTAGTAACATCTTTATGTTGTTCACAAAAATGCTACTATCAAAATGGATTTTTCTAAGTCTGATGGATAGTCACCAAAGGAATCAATGTAATTTGGGCTGTGCCCCATTTTGAACAAAATGGGGGAAGCGGGCGAATCTCATTCATTACATCAGTGCACTGATGGTTTATGATGCCATGTTTCATCAAATGTTCCCAGTTTATCAAGGTCCCACAATCTGAGTGAATTTAATCAATGTAGCAATAAACTGTTAAAATGTAAGTTTATAATGTAGACCAGTTTTACATTCAAAGCAGATGCTGTACTCCACGCATCTACATCTTGATATTCCAATTTTATTACATCATTATTGAAAAAAAAAGGGAGGGGAGGAAGGCACCCCATGCTTTTAACTTAATGGGGGGCGGAAATCCCGTTGATGTTTAGCAGGTTAAAAAGTCTTACCAAAAAGTAGAACAAAGCATTCAGTGCTGTTTCTTACATTCTTGGTTTGGTTTCTTCAGTTCAAAGTTTTATTTGCTTTAAAGAAATGGAATTTTCCACAGATGATATCCTGATTGTTATAATATGTAGTTTCCCACTAACACAGAGAGGACTTTGATTTATCTTCTTTTATTGTTTAAAAAAACACCTGAGTGACATATGAGTAAACTTGGCATGTTTTATTGTTCTGTATAGGTTAGCTGACATGGGACACCATGTGGTTGGTGTGGAAATTAGTGAAAGTGCATTGAAGGACTTTTTCACAGAACAAAATCTTTCATTTTCAGAAGAAATAGTTCCAGAAATCCCTGGAGCTAAATTATTGAAGGTATGTATCGAACCCTCTGTTTTCTTTGTAATTATGTAATTATGTTTATTTGTGCAGCTTAGGCTAAAAGTTTTATCAGTGGCTCAAAGTAGATACGTCTCTGTTTATTGATTTAAAATATGGATTTCTGCAAACCGTGAATTAAAATGGCAACAATGAAGATTGGGCATCATTAAAATACATGGAATGAAGTAATGATATTGATTATTCCAAAAGTAGCATAGTAGGTAATTCATAGCATTAGGGCATTAATCATGAAAGTGGAATTAAAATCTGTAATTTATTGAAAGAATAGAATGCCTTGATGATAGAAGTGAACTCCTTGATGAAAACTGTAAACTTCATCCCTGATTATTCTTCTGAAGTTCCTTTATTTAAACTGAAATGTTTAAAGCTAGATATTTCACTATTTTTAAGCATTATATACAATATATACATATACACATTTATATTAAAACTCATCTTAAATGAAAATTAAAACGTTACTGCTTTTATTACATCAATGCTGAATTATTTTAATGCTTACTTTTGTTTTATTCCTATAAAAATAGTATAGCATTACCACTAAGAAAATACAACTAATAATAAAATAAGATAGAATGTTTAGATGTTAAAAATGTTAATTATGGTTTTGTTGCTTTATCTTTTTTTAATTTATTTTTCATTGCAGTGCACATCTCTGAATATTTGTTTATATTGTTGCAATCTATATGATTTAACCAGGTAAGAAGAAATTAATACTGAGTCTTTCCACACATTTAACACATTTGATGGCTTTCAACTCTACCTGTTAAGCAGCATAGGTAGCATCTATGGGAAATTTTACTCTGGTTCAGGTATGTATATGATGGGTAATGAGCTTTTCATGCCATGAAAATAGACATTGGCTAAGCTCACACGTATAAAGCAAACCCAGGGATCAATCATCATCTTATGCACTGAGTACTGTAACATAATACAGGCAACCCTTGACTTACAACCACAATTGAGCCCAAAATGTATGTTGCTAAGCAAGTCATTTGTTAAATGAGTTTTACTCTATTTTACAATTGTTCCTGCCAAAGTTGTTAAGTGAATCACTGCAGCTATTAAGTTAGTAACATGGTTGTGAAATGAATCTGGCTTCTCCCTTGACTTTGCTTGTAAAACAGTCGTGAAAAGTGATCACATGACTCCGGGACACTGCAGTCGTCATAAATATGAGTCAGTTGCCAAGCATCTAAATTTTGATCATGTGACCATGGGGAATGCTACAACAGTTATAAGTGTGAAAAATTGTCATAAGTCACTTTTTTCAGTGCCGTTGTAACTTTTAGCAGTCACTAAAGGAACTGTTGTAAGTCGAGAACTACCCGTATTGTGTAATGGTACAGGCCTCTAAAATATTTTAAAATATTTTAAAATGGCCCAAAACTCAGTATCTCCTAATACTTTGTTGCTTGCATCATAAGGTCTCATGCAAGAATATTGACATTTTATAAGATCTAGTGATCTTGGAAGAGTTTGGGAATTTTTGAGAAAACTTAGTGAGGATTTCCTGGATACCAATTGGGACTTTTGTAAGTGCTTTGGAATATGTCATAATGTTCACAAATAATCCTAAATCAGAATGAACGCATCATATTATAGCTTAGCATTATGTGCAAAGGAAACTATTATATCAATTCATTTTCTGATTCTTGGACCATATCAAGCATATTATATATTATATATTACATTATATAGGGAGCCTCGGTGGCACAGTGGTTAGAGTGCAGTACTGCAAGCTACTTCTGCTGCAGCCAGCTGCCTAAATTTGGCAGTTCAAATCTCACCAGGCTCCAGGTTGACTCAGCCTTCCATCCTTCCGAGATGGGTAAAATGAGGACCCAAATTATTGGGGGGAAATATGCTGACTCTGTAAACCGCTTAGAGAGTTCTGTAAAGCACTATAAAGTGGTATATAAGTGTAAGTGCTATTGCAATAAAATACATTCTCCCTAGTTCTGTAAACCTTTCAGCATCCATATCAAAGCTGTTTCTGTTTCTTGCTCATGTGGATTTTAAAACCTTTGTCTTCTGTATGTGCGTGTTTTGTTTTTTCTAATGCAACATTGCTTTTCTGGTATGACTAAAAATACTACTTACTATGTTTGATGTTATTTTTCTCTCTCCCACCCTGTAGCTCTGTCACTGGTCATTTTGATGGGATTTGGGACAGAGGTTCTCTAGTAGCCGTTAACCCTTCTGAGAGAGAACGGTCAGTAACTGGGAACTGCATTTTATGTTCATGTTAGGAACTACAGTGTTGCTTGTGGAGTGCTGCCAGGAAATTGTTCTTTCTTCCCGAATGATTAACTTGCTCCAGTCATTCTGTATTGGGGATACCTTTACTAAATAACTTTTGCAATATTAGATGAAATAATTATTGGGATACTGACATGACAAGGTCATTACATTTAAATCACAACCGTGCTGTCACAGGTAATATGTAAGGTATGGTTAGGCTTGAATGACAGCAGTAGTCAAATACTTTATTTCTCTTCTACTGACAACTCCTGGTGTAGCATTGCCCCCATAGGAGTTGCAATGCTGTAAGTTAGTGCAATGGACCAAATATTCTGAGAGAGCCATCGCGCTTTGCTAATGTAATTGTTTGCTTCAGGGTTGGTTTCCCATCAGAACAACATGGTATCCAAGATAGCTTCTCTACAATTCATTGATTTTTTTCTCCACAATTGTTTCATTATCCTTTTAGCCCTTGTATTGGGTATTGCTCACATCTGGACTTTTGGAGCATTTTGCTTTTTAAAATTTAATTCTTAACCACCTTGGATGATGTTACTTCCTTCTGGAGATATGGGTTGATATATACAAACTGTGATCTGTGCCTTCTCTAGACACTTGTCAGGCTGAGTATAGGTAGTCCTCGACTTACGACCACAACTCTGCCCAGCATTTCTGCTGCTAAGTGAGACATTTGTTAAGTGAGTTTTGCCCCGTTTTACAACCTTTCTTGCCACAAGTGAATCGCTGCACTTGTTAAGTCGGTAACATGGTTGTTAGGTGAATCTGACTTTGCTTGTCAAAAGGTGACTCTAGGACACTGCAACCATCGTAAACATGAGCCAGTTGCCAAATGTCTGAAGTTTGACGACATGACCATAGCATTACTGCGATGGTCGCGTAAGTTTGAAAAACGGTCATAAGTCACTTTTTTCAGGCCTGTTGTAACTTCAAATGGTCACTGAATGAACTATTTTTAAGTTAATCTGTAGTCCTCCTTTTCCCAAACCTGATCTTAGTTAAGGCTGACTGAGTAGGCTCTTCTGTAAGTAGAGCATGGATCTACTATGGCATAAGCAGGAGTTTAAATACATATATTTTGTGTATGTCAGACTAAACAAAATATGCTGTGTTATAGCACACAAACCCAGACCGTATAAAGCCTGAACCTGAAAATTTAAGTAACACCCTGCTCCTTCTCCTCCTCCAGACCCATATACATGACTGAGATCCAGTGTGCTGTTGTGGTTAATGCGCTTCAAATGTGCCACAATGTGTATTCATGTGCCACAACCACCTCACAGGATTGTTGTGGAGATAAAATGGACGCTTGGTGTATGTCTCCTTCAACTCTTAGGAAGCAGCAGCAGTAGCTGTGTTGTTTCACACTAAGCTGCAGCATAGTTTTGCTTGGCATAATTATAGGGAACAAACCTTTTCAGTAAGTCAGTTGTGCTTTAGCATGGTTAGCAAGACAATTTTCTGCATCAACTCCAATTGTTACTTTAAAAAAGTTTAAGAATCATAGCTCATCATGTTGTGTGAATCCAACTTTTCTCATGTTCTGCATTTTTCAATTCCTTCTTTGTAATAAAATATCTGTTTTCCCCAGTATGTGTTTCTTGCTCTTTCCTTTTAGCTATGCCCAGTTGATACTATCACTAATGAACAGAATGTGTCGTTGCCTTCTTGTTACTTTGTTGTATGATGCAAGGAAACACAAAGGTAAGACATTGGGACTAAAGTCTCAGCTAGATATTGGGAGAATCTTACATGCTTTGTAATTGGACATAAGGTCTTAAGATTAGTGTGGGATTGGTCTGACACAGTGTTTCTCAAGTTCAGTGACTTAATATGGGCGGACTTCAATTCCCAGAATTCTCCAGCCAGCAAGGGGAATTCTGGGAGTTGAAGTCCACCCATCTTAAAGTAGCCCAGGTTGAGAGACTAGTCTAGGATGATTAGAGGGAAGGCTAAACAGATAGGGTCCCTCAGTTAATGTTGGTCTGAAATCCTTTCTAATACTTGCCAATACTTTTTACTGTATTTATTCAGTGATTTGCATCTTTTTCATGTTTTTAAACTAGGCAACCGTGATAATTTATTTTTAAAAAACCCATTTAAAGACACGATTTAGTGCTAAGTATCATAAAAAGAAACCAGACTACTAATGTATAACAATATAATATTGTATAATGAACAATCAAAATATTCATGACTCTCTAGGGTATGGCAATGGCAATTCAGATTTTTTAAAATCTACTATTCTAGGAGTCTGCCATAATTTTATAACATTCAATTCAGATCTAAAACTGGGAGTACAGTTTTAGATATCAAGAGCAAGCCATTGCATAACGTTTCTCAAGTGACTCCTTTCCCCACCGTTACATTTCTACTGCCATTCATCTACAGTGAACACTTAGGGCTTTGGCTGGGTTTTCTTTAATTTCTGGATTTCTAACTTCATCATTTCTGTTGTAGGGCCACCATTCTATGTTGCTGATTCAGACGTGAAAAGTTTATTTGGTGAGTCAATGAAAAATAAGCTTTAACCTGTGCCCAAATGTGCTTTACAGTGGTACTTGCCCTCTTCAGGAGTGAAAATACTTATTTTCATAGACTAGGAGGGATCAGAGCCATGTCAACTGGCCCCTAAGCCAGTACATTAATATGGTACCTGTGGAAGGGGGTGCTGTTACATCCTAATGTCTCATAAATCTAAATGAGTGGCATTTGTGTCAACTTATATTACTTGCATAATCAATGTAAAGGGCATCATTTGCACCAAAAAAATCTAGATTGAATAGACAAAACGCTCAATACTATGAAACATTTTTCCATTGCATGCAAATTCTCTAAATTGAGGTCTTTGAAATAGAAGGTGTACATCAAATAATGCATTCTGCTGATGTGCGTGCACATTTGCTTATATGAAGAATCTTTCTCTCTGTGTGTGCAAAAGATTGTCCAGTTTGGAGGTCAACTACTCAGGGTTATTTCTCTGACCTGTTTTGGTAACGCATGGGAGCTATTGTTTAAAAACAGATGCAGCATTTCCTATATTGAAAATAGGCAGGGATATTATGTAGGAACGTTTATTTCCTAAACTGAATCTAGAGACATGCAATCCAAAAAAACAAACAAAAGCACAGGATAAATATCAACGACCTCAATCTATTTCTGCCAATTTTTTCTGCTACGAAAAAAAGAAACTTGAATATGCACATCTAGCGAACGGATACTGTATCTTCCAGTTCAAGGTTACTTTCCATGCGGAGTTCTAGTAATTCAATCTAGATTCTTGGGTTTATTCTAACTCTTTTTAGATCCCAGAGTTGTACTATAAATCTAACACCCCTTTGTGTTCACCTTTCCTAATTACTTTGGGCAAAATCTACTTTGCAGACCTAGTACAGGGACATTTTGTTTTTATCTCAATCCATATCCAGTTCTATTATCTCGTCTGTGCCACATGGAAATGACTCATTTCTTTACACTGCTTCAAGCTAGTTGGGTCCAGAGTGATGCCAGTGGAAAACATTCTTGTTGTCATGGCCTTGTGCTTGCAGAAAGGACAGTAAAGAATGCCTCCTATTTGTCCTAGCCTTGTGTCAATATGCCTCATGACATATTGAGCAAAGCTCTGTGAGAACTTGGGAAGTTGGAAGTGCTTGGGAAGTTGGAAGTTGGTAGCAAACGTGGTCCATAAGGGATCAGAACAGAATAACAAGAGTCAGAAGGGACCTTGAAGGTCTTCTAGTCCAACCCCCTGTTCAAGCAGGAAGCCCTATAACATTTCAGACAAGTGGCTGTCCAGTCTCTTCTTTAAAAACTCTAGTGATGGAGTATCCACAACTGACAGCAAGCTGTTCCACTGGTTAATTGAGATGGTGCAGCTCCTTCTACTAGTGTGTATCTCAAAATACTGGGCAAGTCCTTTGTGTGGCATGAATTTTGGGAGATTGCCCAAGGGTTGTTTTTTTTTGCATGCACAGTGGTAAGAGGAGCACAGCATTGTTTTTAAATTCTCATTTCTCATGCAAGACTCTTGTTTTAGTTGGAAAATGCCTTCCATTTATGGAGGGGCTGTCCCCTGTTGGTAGGCTACCTCTGAGTCCAATTTTTAGAAATAACATCCCAGTATAAATGCACACAATTTTTTTTCTTACTCTTGCCATTATTTGCTATGGCTGCCTGGCTGCATTCATAGTCTTTCATTCAGGTTTTTTTTTAGCTCAAAAGCATGCAGAGGAAATAGTTTCACCATCATATAACAATATTACAAAACCTATTAAAAGCCTCCCTATTAATTAAACCATTAGATGAGAGCACATTAAAGCAATTTTATCATAGCAGCATATAAACTCAGGATTCCTATTTTGATAAGAGTTATTAAAAATAAGCACTTATTCCCATATGAGGCATTTATAATGTGTAACAGGAGGGGAAACAATGGTTTATGCAAAATCCGAAGGATAATGAGCGTTGTTAAAACCATTAAAAGACATTTTTTCTCTCTCTCTCTTTCTTCCCAGGAAAAGACTGCGACATTCATTGTCTTGAAAAAGTCTATAGTTTGGAAGAGCGACATAAGAAGTGGGGTTTAGATTATTTATGGGAGGTTTTATACCTGATTACATTGAAAGAACCAAGATGATTACTAGACCTACCCCCTCGGAGGATGAGGAGAACTACTTGGTTGCCAGACACCATAATGTTTCTGGACTGGGGATCGATCATTCTTCAGATACTTTCTTCGATTATCAATATCTCTGAGAATAATTTTCTTGAAATTTGGATATTAGAGTGTGTCTTGTATTTTTCTTAGATTAAATTCTATATTAAATATTAATAATTATATATCAACGTATAATGAGAAATAATATAGAGAATTAATTTATTGCTCTACAGAGTGTATCATAAGTGTATATCTTATTAATGAATTTGGATCTTTGGGAAAAGGATTTAGAATGGTGATTAAGAGGTGAGCAAAAGGTGATAGGTTGAATATTGAAAAGAGAGAAACTAGAGGGAGCATATTTATGGAGAATTGTGGATGGAGAACAAAGTTAAGTACAAATCAAAATCTAAAAATAATATTTAAATTACTGGATGTTAATTTGGGATAACGTTTATAAAATTTTGAAAGAACAGAAAACAAAATCTTAAAAGACATGACAAGTATCACTACAACAACACTGAAGGCTGCGGGAAAAAAACAGCAAACCCATCAATGTCAATTGCTTATCCAGCAACACAAAGATCAATTGAAGGGATGCTTACCATAGAAAAACAAAGTACAACATCAAATGCACCAAATATGCAAACAACCCTTTTAGCAATTCAAGAAACAATGATTAAACTTCAAGAAACAATGTCCAAAAACCACAGTAAAATGAAAACAGAGATGGGTGAAATGAAAAATGATATACACAAATTAGATGAAAAAAATGGGCTCAATTCAACAGGTGATAGAAAAAACGAATAAAAAATAAAAGCTGTGGAGACAAGAACGGAACAGACGGAGAAGAAATTGGAGTTGGCGGATCAGAAGATGATAGAGTTAAATAAAGATCTAGAGGATTCTCTCATCCATTTAGAGATCGACCACACAGCCTTTTATTGAGGTATTGATGGAAGCAAAATAATCGGACTCGTAGAGGGAGACGTACATCTCTTTAATACAAAAAGAGGGTATAGACAACCAACATTCAAAATTATAGGCCAATATCATTATTAAATGCCAATTGTAAAATATTTACAACTATAATAGCAAAAAGATTGAAAAAAATATTGAATGAATCTATACACCACGATCAAAATGGATTCCTCCCAACAAGGCAAATCAGAGACAATACAAGAATAGTAATAGATATACTGGAATATTATGAGGCCCATCCAGAAAAACAAGCAGCACTTGCTTTTCTGGATGCATAAAGGGCCTTTGACAATCTTAATTGGCAATTTATGATAATGAAATTAGGAGGCAAGTTCAAGAAAATGATAGAGGCAATATATTCCACTCAAAAAGCGAATATATTAATAAACGGGGAGAATACAGAGATCTTTACAATAATGAAAGGGGTAAGGCAGGGTTGTCCAATGTCACCTCTGGTCTTCATTCTGACACTAGAAATTTTATTATGTTGAATCAGACAAAATTCAGATATAAAAGGAACCAGAATTTAAAAAGAAGAATATAAAATTCACGCTTTTGCAGATGACCTGGTATTCTTCATAGAAGACCCATTGGAGTCAGGAAATACTTTAATTCGAGAATTAGAATAATATGGAGAAGTATCAGGTCTTAAAATTAATAGAGAAAAGACTAAAATGTTCACTAAGAATTTAACGAAAGATTCCAAATTGCAAAGAAAGTCAAATACTTAAGAATATGGCTAACTGCGAGATGTTCGATGATAAAAGAAAATAACTATATGAAATTATTACAACAAATAAAGATTTGGAATTGTGGGGGAAACTACCATTATCATTAGGGAGAGATACCGCGATTAAAATGAATATTCTACCCAAATTATTATACTTATTTCAAACAATCCGCATAAAATTAGACAAAAAATTTTTCATGAAACTGAACAAAATTATGTTAGAATTCATATGGTTAGGAAAGAAAGCCAGAATAAAATTAATAGCGCTACAGGATAGTAGAAGCAGAGGTGGCTTTGGACTCTTGAGAGTTCTACTACAATGCAGTAGCATTGATATGGATCAAGGAATGGATCAACTTGAGTAATACGCCTAGATATTAAGCCTAGAAGGTTATGATCTACAGATGGGATGGCATTCCTTTCTATGGGAAATGAAAAGTAAGAAGCAAACATATTTTTATAGACATTACATGAGAGATTCATTGATACAGATTTGGAATAAAATTAGGAGAAAACATGAAAATACCGGCCTGGTTATCCACTATGCAAGCGATGATATATCCTAACACATTGGATTTAAGTAAAATGGTTAGATACGAAGAAATATTGGATAACCAGGGAAAATTAAAAACAAATCAGGAATTAAGAGAGCAGGGTATAATCATAGACTGGTAGCCATATCTTCAGTTACAAACCAGATATAAAAAAGATGTAGAAAAAATTGGAATTTACACTGAACTGCAACAATTAGATAAAAATTTTATTAGGCTCTGAACAGAAATTCATAACAAGGATGTACAATTACTTATTAAAAGTTGCTTTGGAAGAAGAAATAGTAAAAGGCTGTATGATAGCATGGGCAAAAATATTAGACATAATATAGATTTAGCAGATTGGGAAAAATATTTGGAACAAAAATTATACATTAACAAGATCAGCGGCCTATAAAGAAAATATGTACAAGATGTTTTATTGTTGGCATTTGCCACCAATGAGATTGGCCAAGATGTACCCTCTGTTGGAAATTCAAACAGAATCAAGGTACCTTCACATGTGGTAGTCATGCCCAGAAGCCCAAAAATATTGGACCAAAATATGGAGTTGGATACAGAAAATAGTGGAAGATTGAATAGAGTTTAAACTGGAGTTGTTTTTGTTGGAAATAATTAAAGGGGAACATAAGAAAAAGATTAAATACATTCTACTACATATTTTGACAGCAGCAAGGATAGTATATGCACAATGCTGGAAACAAAATAACATGCCTTCAGATGAATTAATAATTCAAAAAATTCTAGATTGTAATGAAATGGACAAATTGACATTAACATTAAAAGATAGAAAAGAGTCAATATTATGAAATCTGGGACAATTGGTATAAATGGTTGAACAATAGAAATAAAGATAATGGAGATAAGAAAATTATAGAAAAATGCATATGAATGTATATAAATGTATATGTAGATATTCACATGAGATTGTTTTTTGTAAGTATGATGACACAGCAATATTAATATTAAGGTTTAAATGTTTTAAAGTTGAAAAAGAACAATAAAAATTATTGGGTAGGGGAAAAGTCTTTTTTTCTCTCTCTCTTTCCTCCCAGGAAAAGTCTATGACATTCAGTGTCTTGAAAAGGTCTATAGTTTGGAAGAGCGACATAAGAAGTGGGGTTTAGATTATTTATGCGACGTTTTATACTTGATCACATTGAAAGAACCGAGATGACTCCTAGACCTACCCCCTCGGAGGATGAGGAGAACCACTTGGTTGCCAGACACCATAATGTTTCTGGACTGGGGATCTATCATTCTTCAGATACTCAAGCGTTACATCAGGATTTGTGCTTTCTCCCCATTTTCCCTTCTATTGGGTTCCTCCTAATCAGCATTATGCCAAGCTAAATACATTTGTAACATTACACAATATTGACTTTGCTGGAAAAGGTTCCCTGGCTGTAGGTGCTCAGAAAAATGTCTATTAGAGGCTTTCTGTTGCATGTCTGTTTGTTGGTTTTTGTAGTATTTCTGCCTGGACCACCACCTGATGTACAGCACACACCTTTTCTCTTGTATAAGATGAAGACTTCTGTATAAGGCTGTACAAGGTAAAGACTTCACTCAAGTCAAGCTTAAAATTAGATAATTTTATGATGTGTAGGTTTTGCATGTGACAAGATTATGGAAGAGGTTCCCCACAGTTGTTTTCCAAGATTTTTTTTTCCCAACACCATTGGGAGATCTTGGTGATCTCTTATCCAAGGATCAGCAATGATCAGCTTTGCACTGGCATCTGCTTTGAGGAACAGGTTCAGCCAGGCAATCTGAGGCAGGAAGAGAATGTGCCAACACGAAATTCCAGAAGACAGAATCATTGAATTATCAACCAGTTTGTGCAGATCGTTTCTTCTTTTTCCCCCTGCATGCAATAATACCTATTTCTGATTTATTTTCAAGCTGTGGTAGGCATGCCAAAAATTTGACCTTGCTTAGGAGAATGAGTCATTTCCTGTGGTAAGAAATCACCAAAAGGGTGAGGGAGAGATACATAACAAATTATTGGCAAGGCTTAGAATTCCAGTAATTTCTGTTGATACCATCCTGCTTGGCTGCTATCGCCTGTCAGTCACACCAAGTTGTTTGAAAAAGAGAGAGCACAATACATCAAATGCTGATTCATACTTTATGGGTAATTCTATTTGTGGTAGGTGAAGACCACAGCCAACACGTAGGCCTGGTTTTGTTTGATTACCAGTTGTTTATTTGAAAAGTATTAGTAGTTTATGAAGGATTTCCAGAAAATGAGATCTGGTTACCTGTTTATAATTTGAAAAGAACAATATAAAAATATTAAAAAGATAGGAAAAAGAAAACAAATGGGAGCACTGGGATTTTAAAATACTTTGTTGGAGTTTATTGTAATATAAAATACAAATGGAAATAAGGATCAGAGGGGAAAGAAATGTGAGGTGAAAAGGAAAAGGGGAAAAAAAAACAGTGACTTCTGACTCTTTGCTGCAGTTGAGTACAAAATACAGTTATGGCCTTTCCTTTTTGTTTTATATTTCTGATAGATATAAGCCAGATTCACTTTAAGAACCATGTTGCTAATTTAACAACTGCAGCAATTCATTTAACAACTGTGACAAGAAAGGCTGTAAAATGGGGCAAAACTCACTTAACTGTTTTGTTTAGCAGTGGAAATTTTGGCTCAATTGTGGTCGTAAGTCAAGGACTACATACACTCTACCTACACTCCCAAATCAGACTTTTAAAACAGATTTTCTTATAAAGCATAATCTTTTGCCAGCACTTGGCTCATCTGATAAGTCAAGTGGAGCTCACAAAACCTTCATGCCTTATAATAACTTAGTTGTTTTTTTTAAATGCTACTAGACTGGATATGATATGAACTTTATTCAGTGAAGTCTAAATGTTAGGAAACATTTGTTCCTCTTGCTCTTTTTAAGGAAACAATAATAGAGAAATAGACTTCTGACTTTTTGCTGCAGAAAATACATAAAAGTGATGTTCTGATCCCCACTACAAAAAAAAATGCAGTATAAACTCAAGCCAGTTATTGGCATTTGTACATGGACAAGGTATTTCACAGCTGAGTTTTTTACCTTTTTAGTCAATCTATGTGGGATATACTACGGTATAGGCAGCTCCTTACTTAGCTGTGGCTATGGCCTTTGCCATCTTTTCAATCCATCCCCCACATGGTGAAATTAGGAATGGAGACTCAATTCTATTTTAAGGTGTCATGAAGGAATTTCACCAGAGAAGAAGGAAAGTTTAGCTTATATACCACCTTCTTATCATTATTGCACCTTCTCAAACTCACTGCAACAAATATCTTTTCGTGGAGGATATTACCATTGTTGGGATTCATCTTTCAGTGATTCTGGTGCATAGCTCTGTCTCCTTTTTTTCTTACATTACAACCAATGAAGAAAAACAGAATGCATCAATTATTTGCATCCAGATGTTCCTCACGCAAGAACTTTTGTGAATGTCCTCAAGAGGGCAGCAAACATCAACACAAGCTTGCATTGTGGACTGCAGCCATGTAAAGGCGTCTTGTGACCACACCAATGTGACCAGATGGTACGGCACTTCCCCCCCCCACACACACACACTTCTCAGCAGCACAACGATCAATCCTCTTAGACTTCTCCTAATGACTGCCAAAGCCGCTGATCAAACAGAAATCATGACAGAGCTACTGGATCAGTCTGAGAACAATCTGCTCGAATGCAAAGTGTGCTTTGAAAATTTCAACCCCGAGAAAAGACATCGTCCGAAGAACTTACCCTGCGGGCATGTGATGTGCCTGGAATGTGTCACGTCTCTGGCCCACCCTCGGAACTTCAGGCTGGAGTGCCCTTTCTGTCGCAGGGCTTGCAAATCTTCAGAGACCAGTGACTGCTTGCCGTTGTTGCACCTGATGGAAATCTTGAGTCCTTCAGCCAATCGAGCTCTGGTCGCTGGAAGGACAGTAGGGAGAAGGGAGGGTGTGGCTGTCCCTGGATCTCAGGTCTTCACCTTTCACCTTTCTTTTGGAGGCTGGGGGACGCTGATTAACCCCACGGGGCTGGCTGCCTGTCCGAGATCCAGCTGTTTAGCAGTGGCCCATGATGGCAAGAAACGAATCAAGCTGTTTAGCTTCAGTGGCAGCTGCATACAGCAGTTTGGAGAAAGAGGGCAATCAGGAAATGACCTTAGGTACCCAATGGACGTTGCGGTCACCCTGGATGGCCATATTGTGGTCACAGATAGCGGGGATCGTTCAGTCAAAGTGTTCGATGGTGACGGCAGAGGCAAGATGGTTGTCGCCGAGACCTTTTCCTTGCCGTGGGGCCTCGACACCCTGCCGCAAGACGACATCCTCGTGACCGATTCGGAGGCAGGTGCTCTGTACCGTTTGTCGGCTGACTTTAAAAAGGGAGAATTAAAGGGAGTGGAAAAGTTGTACTCTAACCTGTGTTGCCCAAGGAAAGTGGCTGCTTCGGCCATCTCTGGAGCCATCGCTGTCATCGAACATTTGATGGCCAGAGGCCCCTGCTACGGCAGCACCAGGCTGAAAGTCTTCAACAGAGATTTGCAGCTGATCAGTCAGGTGGACAGTTTTGGCCTGAATCTTGTCTTCCCTTCCAAAGTCCATGCCAGTGCTGTGACCTTTAGCAGGGAAGGGCAAGTAATAGTAACTGATGCTTATAACCAAGCCGTTTTCTCTCTTGGAAAACCTGAAGAATTCCCTGTGTGTGCACCATTGATAACTCAGGGCCTTTCCTATCCTTTGGCGTTAACGTTCACATCAGATAATTCTCTAGTCGTTTTGGATGGGGGCGATCATTCTTTAAAAATATATACTCTCAGCTAAACAGTGGTCTCTGGGTGAGACTTAACTAGCTCACCGTTTCAAAGAAGAATATACAAAATGTTTAATTCTCCAGCGGGTGGATTTGAGTCTTCTCTGGCTTAGCTGTAGTGGATTTTGGTTCAAACAAGTTGAGACAAAACTTAGCTCTGCCGCTTTGTATCTCCCTCCCCGAATGGAAGGCATGTTAACTTATTTCTGAGTGGAACTGCACTGCAAAATGATCATCCCTACTAGAATTAACGTAGTAAAATATACAGAGCCATGTGTGACCTACTTTGAAACTGTATATATTCGGTTCTGGATGGGATGAGTTTCTCTTGGGTTGTTGATGGTACAAAGCCAGTCTATCTGATCCTTTCATCAGAAGGTTAAGGTTTCTTAAAACAAAATAAAAGATTCTTTTCTTTTCTGCATTAGAAAACAATTCTGATTTCTGTTCGTTTTCCTAACCTGATGCCCTCTAGTTGTGTTGACCTTGCCAATCATTTTATTTATTTTATTTTTATTTATTTGTCAATTGCTTACAAGATAATAGGTATAAGTATAAACATAGTTATGAATACATGAAATGGATACATATAAGAAAAATAAAAGAAACAATAGGACAGGGATGGTAGGCACGTTGGTGCGCTTATGCACGCCCCCTACAGGCCTCTTAGGAAAGGGGTGAGGTCAATAGTAGATAGTCTAAGGTTAACATTTTTGGGGTTTGAGGAAGAAACCACAGAGTCAGGTAGAGTATTCCAGACATTGACCACTCTGTTGCTGAAGTCGTATTTCCTGCAATCAAGTTTGCTGCGATTAACCTTGAGTTTGTATCTATTATTTGCTTGCTCTTGTGTTGTTATGGTTGAAGCTGAAGTATTTATTGACAGGTAGGACGTTGCAATGTATGATTTTATATACTATACTTAGATCTAACCAATGTGACTGAGGATTCTGGAAGTTGATATTTCATTTAAATTTGTAAATTTAGAAATATGCCACATGTGACCTATTAAACCTGTAAATTTAGAAAGGCTGGTTTGTAACCAAGACTGACCCAAGAAACATCAGGGGAAATGATACTTTTTAGTTATTCTGGGAAAAGTTGCCTTCAGTAAATGCTTGCAGTGTCATCGTGTAAATAATTTAAAGTGGAACAAAGCAGGGTATTGGAGTGACATGTTCACAGTTAGTCAAGGCATGAAGATGACTCACTTCCATATCATTATATTAATTTATTTTTTAAACACTTTGCAGCTAGTTAAACCAGTGCAAACTTGCATGTGGAGAACAGTAAGCATTAAGCAAAGTGTTAAGATAATTCAGTACTAGCTACAGAATTTCTTTCAGAGAAGAGATATAGTTTAAATCAACCATTTCATCAAAGTAAGGGACAAACTACTGTACATATGCAGAATGACATTTTACGTCACATATTCCTTTCTTTAATGGGTGAATGAAATATATAACACAGTAATAAATAGTGATGTTTTGGGAGGCATTCGTAGGGAGGTAACATATCTAAATGTATTAACTACATTTTTGGGTGAGGAAGGGAGGGAGGGAGGAATACAATCTTCAGAACTATAAATTCAATTTAAATTTAAACCTTCCTCCTCCCCGCAAAATAACAAGGACATTCTGGCAATTTTCCTTGGAGCTATTTTTCTGCTCACTATTATCCCCCATAGTTGTTTTCATCCAATAATCATCCAGAAAATTAGCTTCACAGAATAAAATATATTTGGAGATGCATTTTTACTTGGGGCAGGTGGCAGAAGAGGGGATAGCTAATTTAATTTAAGCATTTTCACTCCACCATATTTTCCTTTAATGGGTAAAGTTTCAAAAAGCATGCTGTTAAAAAAAAAATAAACATGGTTGCTTCTAACATATATTTGACTTACATTTTTAAAAAAAGCAGACTTAAACTTCCTTCAAAATCAACTAGAGTTAACTTCATGAATGCATCCATGGAAAATGGAGTAGTAGTTTGCCATTGTTTTCTTTCATAATTTTTTTTCAGTTTTCCAGTCTGCAACTAGGTTACACTCTGATCTCCCATCCAATTACCAACTTGACCCAAGCCTATGTAGGTTTTAAAGTTATACATGGTTAAGCAGGTACTGCTTCCTGCTTTTTCAGTCTTGGCGTTGTTAGGATTCTAGAATTCACAACGCAAAGATGCAGGTGTATTCCGCACAACACAAGACATACTGCTGTTGCTGTTTTCTTATCAAGAACATACAAATGATTCTGTGGGATGAACTTAAAGAATCTGTGTTAGTAAATACAATTTTACAACTCCTGGGGTGTTAAAAAAAATACGATGTATTTTGTTCCTTGGTTGATCTGGTGGAATTTTACTCTACCTAGCATCCTTGTGTAAATTAAAATGGTTACATATGAAAAACTCACGAGAGGCTATAAAAACATCATATTCTTGGAAATCCACATGGAAAAAAATACTGAGTCAAATGACTGAATTGCGTCCAGAGTTCTTCTGAGTGGAAGAATAAGGAAGGCAATATTTGTCATTTCCCCTTTATGCTCTGGAAGGCTAGGGCATGCCCTTGAATAGAGAACCACTAAATTGGGACATACTGCAATTTATGCCCAGTCCCTTACTCTCAAAGCAAACTGCTGCTATATATTGGATCCTTCTGCCAATAGAAAAAAAAAACATTTTGATTCTCCGGAAGCTAATTCTGGATCCTTGCCATGATTTGTACAAAATTTACCATCTGGTATGTTGTAGTTAGAACAGGAATGGAATTAGGATAAAAATAATGTTTTCTTTTTTCCCCTTGTTTTTTGGAGAAAAAGTTGGCAGTCAAAGTATCCTACAGTTACTTCTGGCAAATAAATATGTTTCACATCAGCACAGACAAGATACTGTCAGAGAAGTATCTCCATGTTCATTTACAAAAATAAAGCTTTATAGTGTCTACCAAAACTGACAGGATTAAGAAGTATTTTCAATGCTAGTCGTGTCATTGGCTCCATGTACTAAAAAGTAAAATAAAGATCAACAAATTGACTTCACAGTGCAAGAGAAAAGTTTATACTGTACAAAGTTTGGATTAGTGTATACATATTGCCCACATCCACAGAACATGTATTCTGGTTATTTTTAAAATAACCTATAAATAACCACAATAGCATTTGATTCATTTAATAGCACTGGGCCAAAAGAGATGCAGTGCCAGTAAACTGAGTTGGATCTCTTGAATGTTGTTTTCATTTTAAGGCATGAGGTTTAATTTTCATACTTCTGCCTAGGAAGTCTTTCATTCCAAAAATCTATTCTATAAGCAGGGATAATAATGTGCAACCTTGAATCACGTTCAACTTGCCAGCATTCCTATAGTCATGGCTTTCAGAGCCCCCACCCCCGAGTAGAGGGGAACCAAAAATATTGCCTCTTTTTAACAATTTGCAGGCAAGTAAGAAAAAAAATCTTAAAACAAAGAGAAAGCTTAAGATACCCATTGCATGGCACAATGTCCCCCTTCTACTCCCCATATTGCAAAAAAGAAAGTTACACTTTTTTGAATGAGATTCTTAACACAAAAATTACACCAAGGTTTCCTTTTTCATCTGCAGGCTATAACAGGGTTGAGAATCTTTTCTTGTCTAGTACCCATGGATTTTGAGTAAAACTGAGCACCAAAATAGGCATTATTTCTCCTTCCTTCCTTCCTTCCTTCCTTCCTTCCTTCCTTCCTTCCTTCCTTCTCACCCTTCCCCTCTCCCACCTTTCCTCCCTTCCTCCCTCCTTTCCCTTTCCTTCTCCTCCCCTTCCCACACTAATACCAAACCAACAACAACAATCACACCAACCCCACTGCCCCCTTTAGTTTTTTTGTTTTGTTTTTTGCTGCAGATGAAAAACATAGCTAGGCAGTTAATGGAAAGTTAATGTTAGTTTCTCAAAGGAATTCCAGGTACTCCTCACTTAACAACCACAATTGGGACTAGCAACTCCATTGCTAAGCAATGTGGTCATTAAGCAAGACATCGCACGACCATCACAGATTTATAACCCTACTTCTTCCTCAACTGTTAAGTGAACCACGTATGATTGTTAAGTGAAACATTATGACTGCAACTTGTAATATTACTGCCAGATTCTCCATTGACTCTGCTTGTCAGAAGTCAGCTGTGAAGTTCACAAACGGCAAACACGTGACTGTCGGATCCTGCAACAGTCATAAACACCCATTAGTTGCAATATGCTTGAAACCGTCATGGCTGTAAATGCAAGTATTGGTCATAAAGTTACTTTTTTAACACTATCATAACTTCAAATAGTTGCTAAACAGGGCAGTCCTTAAGTGAGGAGTACCTCTACAATAAATTCTACTTGGTATAGTATGTATTAATGTAGTATACACAAGAAAATTGCCACCTTTATCACATTCTTTACAAAATTACACTTCTTAATTAAAAATAATGTTCAATTTTGATGCACTTCAGATGTTAGAGGTTAACATGACCTATTTGCAGTTTAGTAAATGGAAGGAAAGACAGCCAACAAAAAGAGAACATCCTTTCTACCCTGTCTCCATCAATACCCCAAGTTGGACTTGTTCAGCTGATTCAGGTAACAGGTTTATTTATATATTCTTGTATTGAAGATTTTGAACTGACTTGAAATGAGAGTGAAAATCAAGCACATATAGGATGCAACAGGCAATGGAAATGACCCTTACAGAATCTAAACTCAAAAAAAGGAGCCAAGAATGGTGTCTCCTATACACATTTTTCCATCTCTCCAATATCCTTTACATTTCAGAAAAACACATTTGAAAGGTTTTTATAGACTTACAAACTGCATATGGGACAAACATGATCTATTTCTTACCTTCAAAGACAATAATAAAACCCTGTAAACATTCTGAAAAAGAATGGTACAGCACCATTTCCAAAATTTAGGAAACTTGAGAAACGACATATTGAATGGCTTCCTACAACATTCTACACCAGGTTAAAGTGGAGCTTGATTGTTTGTTATTTTGAACACTGCAAGAACTTAATTTTCTCTTAGCATGTTCTTGTATGAGAAAGGCCAGCACATTCAGCCATAATTTTGTTTAGTTGAATGTAAATTTTATGAGACCCAGGTTTTAGTTTTAGAATGTTCTGTGAAACCCTCTGTTTAAAAACAGGCTTGCAGCTATTGCTTAGAAAGTGCCATCCTTTACGGATGTCCTCTTTTTCCAATTTCAGGGACATCACAATCACATGGTGTACAATGTAGCAACATGGTCGGCTTTGTTCCAAAGGTTTACACAGAGCAAAATTAAAGTCAGGACAAATTGCATACAGCGTAACATTGCTGTGGTAATACTTTTACCTCAATCTGTCTCCCCTCTTCATGGGTTCTAGTGAAACAATCATCCACATTTAAGAAACGGAGATCATTAGATTTTTGGAATCAACAGCTTGTTCGCTTAGACAATGATGGCGAAGAAGGAGAATTGATTCCAGCAGTCCTTACAAAA